CCCCAACCCCAACCCCAACCCCAACCCCAACCCCAACCCCAACCCCAACCCCAACCCCAACCCCAACCCCAACCCCAACCCCAACCCCAACCCCAACCCCAACCCCAACCCCAACCCCAACCCCAACCCCAACCCCAACCCCAACCCCAACCCCAACCCCAACCCCAACCCCAACCCCAACCCCAACCCCAACCCCAACCCCAACCCCAACCCCAACCCCAACCCCAACCCCAACCCCAACCCCAACCCCAACCCCAACCCCAACCCCAACCCCAACCCCAACCCCAACCCCAATTATTCCTTCAACAAATAAATTAATAATAACATTTTATAAACTTTTTGTTTTGTAGAATATTCTACTTGATGTTAAAATAATTTAAAAAAATTATTATTTAATGGAGAAATTTTTAAATTTTCTATTTGAGTAATTTGATAAACTAAAGTTCAATTTACCATTAATTAATTAATTAGTGGGTCAGTTTAATTGAAAGAAAAAATTTTGAAGTTTTTATGAATATATATTTTTTGTTATGAAGTAATTATTTTTTACAATTTTTAAACTAATAAGTTAAAAAATAATTTTATTTCCTTCTTTAATTGAACAGATCTTATTTTTATACATCTTCTCAATAATTTTGCCTTTCCTATTTCAGAGGATCTCTAATATTTAGCAATATTCTAATTATCAGATTTTTATAAATATAAGCCATAAATAAATATTAGCATTTAATAGTTTTTAATACAATATTTATTTTTCTATTTTAAGTTTTTAATATTAATTTTAGATAAATCGGATTTGTATTAAAGATCAAATAAAAAAATAGCAGAATATTTATAAAAAACAACATTAAAAAAATATTATATAGGTTTTAATACAAAATTTATTATTTCTATTCAAAGTTTTTAATATTAATTTTAGATAAATTGGATTTATAAATTAAAGTTCAAATAAATGGAAAAATATGACAATTCTTAAAGAAAAAAATTTTCAATACATTTTATTCCATACTCAAGTAATTTAAACGCTCTTGTTAGAGAATTAACTTTGATGATTGTAAATAATGGCAAAATATATTTTAGAATTCTTAATTTAAAATAAATTTAATAAAGCAATTTGTAGAGTTAAAAAGTTTGATTGATGGTCAATTGCTTGAAATAGAGATAAATTCAAAAAATCAAGATTTTTAAATATACCTTTTTGAAAAGGTTGAAGACATTTAAAATTTACTAAATTAGAAATGGCTTGGAGCTTTGTATTTTATATAAATAAGCTCATTTTCTGAAAAAATACGTTTTTAGTAAAATTATTAATATTTATTTTGTAATCTTTAAAGAATTTAAAAAACTTAGGTAGAAGCTTAGTGATTTGCAAATGGACAGTGCCTGTATATATCAATGGGCAGATATATCTAAACCCTTTTATAAACTAGAATAAATTTTATCAAAATTTGAGGCAATTAATTGTATAATAAAGAACTACTAGATAGAAACAGAGGATGAAAAAGCTAACTTTGTAAATGAGATGCAATAAGAAAAGGATAAATACTTAATATTTTTAAAGCAACTTGAGTTAATAAATAAAGAATATGGTCATTAATATAGAAAAGAAATAATTTTTGAAACTATTATTTTAAATAATTTGTAATAAAATGTGTGCAATTTAAAACATTATAAAATTATTAAATATTTTATGGATTGAGGTATCTCTTCTATATTTCATTAATTTTAATTAAAGTATTTATTTATTTTTTTTAATATTTTTTATGTTAATACTGGAAATTTTTTTTTTGTGCAAGTAGAATTATTAAGTGATTTTTTCACTTTAAATATATAAAAGTTAGACAAAGGAGGGTCCGTCTTTCTTTTTATGGTTTTTAAGGAGCTTATCCAATTCTGTGATTTTTAATTAACTACTTAATTAACTAGTAATTAGTGTGTTAATATTAAATCTAAATAAATAAATTTATTAATCTATTTATTTATTTGAGGAAAACATATTGTAGAAAGTAGAATAAATTTTATCTTAAAATACTGATTCTTATACTTTTTATTATCATAAAAAATAAAATATGAATAATATTAATTTAGATAAACTAGCGTAGAGTAACATTATTGATCAACATTCTAATACCTTTAACTTTTATAATTAATATTTAGTGAACTCTACCATTGGAGGATTTTAAGATATTAAAAAAATACTTAAGTAAAAGTAGAAATAATCATAATAAGAAGGGGTTTAAAAGTTACATGAAGGCAAAATTGAATAATTTTTAAATTAAACTATTGACTAAACACCCAAAATTAAGCCCAAAAAATAAATGAATATGACAATTGATTTAGATTTGATAAATAAGAATGATCTTATAATTTCAGATACACCAAAATATAAACCATAAATTGTAAGTTTTAAGGAAGGAGATGATCATTCTAAATTTGGATGTACCACAAGAAGCAACTTCAAACAAACTTTTGAAAATTTAAAACAAAACTAAAGACAGTCATAGCATTCAAAATAATCTTTGTCACTGTAAATTCACTCTTAAAATAAATTTTTTACTCCGTCTACTCCAAAAGAAATGCAAACAGATTTTAAAAAAAGTAAGGGTACTTCTCATTCTAGATTTGGTAATATGAGTTTTGGGGGTGATATTTTTTCCCCTACTGTGCCTTAAGGCTAAGGATAGTTCACTCCTTTTAAAGACATTATTTAAAAGAATCCTTAGAATATTTTAGATAAATTTTTTAACTAAAATCTAAGCAGCCAAGAGAAAATAAAGCAAAAATTAATACACAATAGTGAATAAATGAACTTGATCAAAGATTAGCTTGAAATCCAAAGGATTAGTAGCTTTGAAAATTACATCAGCATCAAAAAATATTCTGACAGCTTAATAAATAAATCAGCAACTTAAAAAAAATTACCTTAATAAAATAATTATAGTAGATTAAATAAATTTCCTTTTAACAGTTAATAAATGCCCCTAATAATAAATCCTGCGATATTCAATTAGTAGCTTCAAAATAATCAGTAACTTGGAGGTAATTCTCAGTTCTCAAATACTGAAATAGAAGAACAAGGTGATTCAAATCAAAATTAATAGATAGAACTGTAGTTCCATTGGGAAAAGGTAGTTAATTATAGCTCTTAGCTAAAGCCTGAGTTCAGAGAGGGAGCTTCTTTACTAGAATATAACCAAAATCTATATTTATTTGGAGGATTTGGTTTTTAGTTATTTAACTCCCTTTACCAGTTCAGTCTAAGTAATTTTTATATTTGATAATATTAATATTCTATCTTAATTTTATTTAATTTGGCTTTATTGTGATGAATTTTTATTTTAATTTTGTTAAAATCTAAATTTTATTGATAAATTTTAGAGGATTATGAGTGGAAAAAGACAGAAACAAACGGATTTTATGGTAACCAAAGTGGGCGTTTTGGACATTCTGCTAATTTATATAAAAACTAAATGGTTATATTTGGCGGTGCTTCAGAGTACAGCTCAAAATTGAAAAATAGAGCTGTTATGAATGATGTATGGATGCTAAATTTAGATAACCATGAGTGGAAGCAGATTAGAACAATAGGGGATTATGTAGAGCCTAGAAGAAATCATGCAACTTGTATAGTTGGAAATCACTTTTATGCACATGGTGGAGTAGGAAATTATGAAAAATATTTAAATTAATTGAATGTGCTTTCATTAGGTAAATACTTTAATATGTTCTAACTTGAATGAAGAATACAATTAACAAATATTTAGATAAAGGGAGATGGAAATCTTTCTAATTCAAATTTGATGAGTAGGGAATAGCTTTCCACTAAATGGTGCCAATATTTTAAAAGAGCTTGAAATTTATTTCAAGAAAAGCAGAAAAAATGGGCAAAATGGTGAGTTCTAAAAATAAATTCAAAGTATTTTTTTAATATTTTTAGTGAAGATTGAAATGTTGATTTTTTAAATAATTGAAAAGGTGAAGGAAGAAGGAATTTATTGCTTCGGAGGTAAATAAGGCAACTAAAAAATAAGAGGCAAACTTATTATATTAAAATTAGGTAAATATTTTATATATATTTGCTATTATTAATTTCTTCTAAATTGACAGACTAAAAGGAATAACCTGTTGACTGGATAATACCTGAGACCTCTGGATAAAGTCCTCATCCAAGATTTCATCATAGCATGATCTTTAACTATTATGTAAAGGGAATTGTTTTATTTGGAGGAGTCAATGATGAAGCTAATATGCCAGAATATGCATTTTAAGATGTGTGGATACTTTAGCTGAATAATTTAAATTGGATTTAGATTAATGTAAGTGGATAAAATAATAGGCATAGATTTGCTCATTCTTTTACTTCTATCGATGAACGTATATTTATTTTTGGTGGAGCATCTAATCAAAGCTATACTGACTGCGAGTTATATGTATTAGAAATGAGTAAGTTCATATTCAAAGTTAATAATACTCTTATTTTAAAAATTATTTTTACACAGATTAATAAGTAGCAAAACAAAAAAAAAGCAACCCAGTAAGAGATTTTGCTACAAGATAAATGTCTCTTGATAGATTAGAAGTAGAGGAAAATAAACATATTTCTTATTTAGAAAGAAAAATTAATTTTTCAAATACCAATAGATCTAGCGAAAATAAAAGCTTTTTAAGACCTCCTTCTAAAAAGTTTTTAAAAAGCTAACCAGAAAGCATGTTTATAAGCTTAGACAGTTCAAGAAAAAACTAAATGTAAACATCAAATTCACCTCAATCATGTGCTTTAAGTCCAAGGTAAAAGTAGGAAATGGCACAGAGGCCAAAGCTTCAGTCCCTTTTTTCGCATTACTTGAGTTGATGAATAAATTTAAAGTTTATTTTAAAAAAAATATATCTATCAAATAATATTTATAAATAAATAAATAAATAAATAAATAAATAAACAAATGAATAAATTAATGGATTAATACAAATGGCATTTATGTTAATAAAGAAAAGATTTATTAAATTGAAATTAATTAACAATTATTTAGAGAGCATTTTATTGACATAATTAGATTAATTAAGTTAAATTAAGTTCACAAAAACATTATCTGGGTTTAGATTAATTTTCTCGTTACTCATATTTATTTATTCGTATTTATAAAGCATTTAATAGCTTAGAAATTTGACTCTGTTTCTTTTTTTATAAAATTTATTTAATTTTTATGTAAAGAAATATCAAAATAGATGAGAGATTGTGATTGTAAGTTTTATGTTTGTTTTATCCTATAATAATCCTTAATTTTATACAGTTAAGAGGTATAAGCACAGCAAATTGAGATATTTTTTAATAGTATTAAGAAAAATCAGTAATTTTTTAGAAATTAATTTTTAATAAAATTTGAAAAAGAGATTATTTTATTTAATAATTTATTTCATTAATAGAAAAAAATTTATTTTTTAATTAAAGAATGAGTTTGAAGAATATTAAAAACATATAAAAAATTAGTTAGTAAAATCAACAAAAAATTTTTGTTTTTCAAATTACTTTTATTGCGAAGTAAAAATGAATTTTTAGCATTAATTAATTATGCATTAAAATAAATATAAAATTTGAATTGATCTATCTATTTATTCTATTTCATAAAAGGTAGTTTTAATTTTAATCATTATAATATTTTATTTATAGCTTGCTATAAAACGAAGGAATTAGAAAAATATATAATAATTTAAAGGATCATAATTTGAATATTTTATTTGCTCAGCAGCATTTTCCAGAACCACCTGTATTACCACCACTCTACTAATTTTATCCATTTAAAAGGGGCTTATCGTTTTTCAACGTAAAGTTTTAATTCGCTTATGTTTATTAAGTACTTGCTTTTGTAGCAGGCTAAGCTGGAGCTCCTGTGTTACCTGTAGAGGGCTATTTATTTTGATTTGCAAACTAGTAATCTTTTTTTTCTATTTTACAAATTTTAAAATAAATTTATGATTTTGCTTACATCTTTTTTTATAAATTTACAATTATTTAGATTATCTGCGTTAGGAGAAAGAATACTATTTTCTACAGGCTAAAGAGAAATAGCCATATCCTTAAACATATTAGCAACATTTTCACCCGTTTTTGCAGATATTTCGTAAAATTTCATATTATTTTCCTTTGCTTTCTTTTCTAAATCAGCTAATTAAACTTCCCTTGCTATTTTTATAAATTAAAATTTAAAATTAAGGATTTAAAGTCATTTTTTTCGTTTTATGAATTTAAATTTTATGCATTCCTTCTTTGCTTTAAATATATCATAACAATTAAATATTAATTCTGCTTACTTAGTTTTAAATCAATTTTATTTGCTACTAAAACGCATGGTGCTTCGCTACCTCTGTTGTCTTTATAGTCCTTAATCCATCTATCTACATTACTAAAACTTTCTTTGTCTTTTAATAAAAAATTATTAAAAAAGTTGTTTTTATAGTAGTTGAATAATTAAGATTTTTCATGTTTCATATAAATATATTATTTAATTGAAGACGTATTTATTCTGATAAAAAAATAATTTTAAAGTATATCAATTATACTATTTCTTGAAAAATCTTCATGTATTAATGTTTATCTTTTTAAATAATTTACTAGTAACATCAAATACGATTACTGCGCATGTGGCATCTCTTAAATAACTTGGGATAAGACTTCTGAATCTTTCCTATCCTGCAGTATCCCACAATGAAAGTCTAATACTCTTATCATCAATATGTAGAGTCTTTGCAAGAAAATCTACACCTACAGTAGGCTTTTTTTATAATTAATAGTTATTGGTTTTTATCTGTCTTTGAATTGAACTTATGCTAAATTATGTTAATTTACATGAGGCTTTTCGTCAAATACATCATACATAAAACGTTCAATAATACATGTTTTTCCGACATGTTGATCACCTAAAAAGATAATTTTGTGCTTAACTCTCGATGTATTCGAGAAATTAGAAGTCATTCTACTGCTATCGTTTGTATGCATTTTTTAATCTATCTTATGATTTGAATTTTTGGAATCTGCTTGTTTTTAAGAGTAATATTTCTATTTTTTGAATCGCTTTGTTGATTACCAGTGTTTTATTTTATTCAGCTGTTTTAAGTCTTTCTTTAAATCAATTTTAATTTGTGTATATTATAATTATTATTATTGTGGATAAACAAATATTTAATTATTGTTTTTATTAGATTTATTTAATTTCTTATTGCTATAGCTTTATTATTTTTGTTAGATAAGCGAAATGCCTACTGCTTTCTGAGTTAAAATAAATTTAAAATAATTATTAATTTTTTAAAATTTCTAAAAGATGATTTGCTAAACCAAAGACAAGTATGCCTTATGGCAAAAATAACACTATCATACTAAAAAAAAAAAATATTTTTTACTAAAAGATAATTAATTACATATTTCCTAATAATAAAAAATTCAATATTTTAATTGATTAAACAAAAAATAATTCGTTAAAAACTTAATTTTAAAGAATTTAATATTTCATAGTAGATTTATTTCACTGAGCAAATAAAAAAAATATGGTTTTCAAATTTATATTTATTTTATTTAGTCAGCAAAAATGTTTATAAAAAATTTTTCACTATTTATTTAACTTACTAAGATTGTTTAAAATTATTACAATTTCGCCTAAATAAATAAAATAAATAACTTGAGGTAATAAAACAAACTAAAAACTGAATATATTCTCTTTAATAAATAAAAGAAGTAACTAACTATTTGTTTTAAATTATTACTTTTTTTAGTTAAAAATATGTTTTTTTAGAAAAATAATACTATTTACTGTAGAAACTTATTAATTAAGGCCTATTAATTTTCAAAATTTTTATTAAGCCATCAGCCTTTAAAAATTTTTTGCAAAAATCTGCCTTAAATAAATCATGAGTATCTAACTTTATAATTATTTATGGTAAGTATTTTCTTAGAAATGAATTATTAAAATATATTCTATTATTTTAATCAATTTATTTTATTCAAATAAAAAAAAAGTTAAATGTCGCAAAATAAAATGAATGAATTTAATTTATATTTTATTTGTTTAGTAGAAGTAGGAATTGTAGTATTGATCTTAAACATATAAATACATAAGATTTAGATAATCAATCACTCTTAGCCATTAGAAATATAAGATTATCCATGAGAGTTAATCTTTAGTACTTATTGAGATATTGCTCTTGAGTTGTAATTAGTTCCGACACCTTTTTAAGAACCGTTTTTATTTTGGTTAGCATTTAATGATGTCATAGACATATTATGACTACTATTATTCACTTTTTTATCTTTAACATATCTATTTTCATATTCGAATATATCAAGAGTAACAGAATCCTTTAATTATTCTTTAGCTTATTCTTTCATCAATTAGGTTTATTTAATTCTTTCTAACATTTCTTACTCTCTCCTTTCAAAGTCTTTTGCTTCAAACTTTGCAAAGCTGAGCATTGCTTCTTCTTTTATTCTTTATTTTTGTAACTCCTTTTCTAATTTTAATTTTTTCTCTTATAAATATTACTCTTTTCTTTATTTTGAAATCTCCTTTTACTTTTTCATTTACTCCATCTTAAATTTTGCATTTTCAATTGCCACTTTTTACTCTTAAGCTTTGCGAATTTGCTCTTCAGCTATTATTTACTTTACTTGATAAAAACCTTCTTTCTTTTTTTTCAAATTTTCTTCTTTTGCAATTTATACTCTTAGCATTTCTAGTTACTTTTTAGGGTGAGTGTATCCAACATCATCTTGCTATTGAATTCTTTGTTACTCTTCTTCTTTCTATTAGATAATAATAATATTTTTATTAAATATAAAACAAAATAAATAATACATAAATGATTTATTAATAAATTTCAATATATTGATTTATTAATATTTGTAAAAACATTTCAATAAAAATCACTATTAAAAATGATAGCAATTATATTTGTTAATACTGGTTTTATATTACAATTTTATATAACTCAAGTTTATATTATTAAAGCATTTAAACTAAAAATTACCTTTTTTATATATAATTTTTTCTGGTTAAATATCTTTTCAGCTTTTTTTGCAGCATCTTCAGCACTCTTTTAAAGTTATAATTCTTCTTATCTCAATTTTCTTAATCTATTTATAAGCATTTAGTTTTGTTCCTATACTATGATTCTTTCTTATTTAATTTATTATAGCATTACTGCACTTGGTACAGCTTTTTATGAATAAGATCTATTTGGCTTTGTTAGATATGGATTAGTCAAATTCATTTATTCATTATTGTGTTTATAAATGGTGCTTGAAGATCTTTAATGTTTATTTTTCTCTAAATCATCTACATTTTCACTTTCATTTTATTTAACTTAAATTTCTGGTAGTTTTTCATAGCGATATTTAGGAGATATATATGGATTTTAATAGTTAATCTTATGTTTATTCAAAGCACTTTCATTATTTTAATGCTATGGAGCTGCTAAGACGGGTTAATTTGAATTTTCTTCATTATTTTCTAGTTTATTTATTTTAAAATCATGAATATATCCCTAAATTACAGAGTTTTATCTATGTTGTCCTTGCATAATTAACTTTTATTCTTTACCTAAAATTTAGCTCATTATTTGAAGATTTGATATATAATTAAATATTTTTTAGTAAATTATTAATTTAGTGGACAAGCAAGCAACTAATTTAAAGAGATACTCATTAATGTGCTAATTATTTAAATTGTAAAAAATTCTCTACAAATTAATTTATAAATTTAATTAAAGTAATAGGATTTTAATAAATCTATTTTTTTTAACTAGATATTTATTTATTAGTAAAAAATCATGCACTAGTGTTCAAAAAAAATAGAATACTGAAGCAATAAATACTATATATGTTATAATTTTTATTAGCAATATAATTCTCTACTTTTGTTTGAGTAATCTAAATAATTAATTCTTTGAGTATTGAAAATATATTTAAACTAATTAAATAAAGTTAATTACTGTGTGCTAGTCATAAATAAATTCCTTTCTGCATTTAAAATTTACTATTATTAATGAAATATGTGAAATAATTAAATTAAATTATGAAAACTAAAATGTAATTTTTCTTATTTATTATTGCTACTCACACCTATTTAATCAAAGATATGCATTATTCAATTTAGTAGATTTTTATAATGAAGCTTTATTTAACAAAAATATTTACAAGTAAAGTCAATCCCCTTTTTGGATAAAAATTAAATTGAATATAAAAATCCATCAATTTTCATTAAAAGTATTTACATTTATTTAAATTATATAAATATTTTTATATTCATCTTTAAACTAACTAAAATTTAATTATATTCATTAATAAATACACATAAAAATTGCAAAACATTATATCAAAAGTGTAGAAATTACTATAAATTAGAAGAAAGAAATGAAAAATAAAATTTATTAAAAATATTTATAAAAATTTTTATTTAATTTTTACATATCTTAAAATAATTCAAATATTTCTTTTTATTAATGCTTTTGTAACATTAAATTTACACAAATAAATTTTATTAATATAGATAATCCACTTCAAACAATATCAAACTCATCTTTAATGCTATTTATTAAATTAAAATTTATTAATATTATAATTCTTTAACTTAAATTATATAAATAGAATACCTGTTTAGAATATTAAAAAGATCTGTATACATTTAGTTCGTTTTCTAAATTTGTGGGTCATTGTTAATACTATCCTAATTTGTCTTGTTGATTGTGCTAAGGTCATTATGACTAGAATGATTAGGAGATGAGTCTTTGGGTTTGGTAATATTATTTGTTTTTTAATTATTATAAATTGAATTTAGCTTATTCTAACTTGAATCTTTATTTATATATGAACCTTTTTGTCCTTATTTACTTTGAAAACTATTATTTTTATCATCGCTGTATCCATATTAATTGTCAATAAACTCAAAGAATGAAAGATTTTCATTTTAATTAAAATTATTTTTTTGCTAATCTATTTATTAAATTTAATCTTGTTCATTTAATTACCTTTGCTACAATTACTTTATTTCAGATTATCTTTGTTTTATTTAACTATTTTATTCTTATGTTGATTTTTTTCTCTCACTTTAAATTTGCTATATTTTTTACAATGAACTTTTTTAAACTTAATCTTTAATATTGCTTTATATTACATGTTAAGTTGGATTTTATTTTTTAATCTTTGTTGTTGAGTCAGTTTTATTTTCTTATTAAACTTTTTATTATTAATTTTTTTAGGCTTCTTTTAAATTTTGAGAGTATAAAGATTTTTATGAATCCAATTTAGCAGCATTATTTTTTTCAAGATCCTTTTCTTCATTCTCAATAAAATCTTATAAAAATTATTTATTCAATTATTAAGCTGACAACTTAATTTATTGGTTGCTTTTTGTTTATGCTGATTGTCTAATACCATCAAATCCTTTTGAATTTCTATTAGCTTGTGGAGATTGTTGCTATTTCGATTTCTTTTATTTTTCTTTCGGTTTCCAGGATTAAACTACATTTAGCAACCTTTAGGATTCTCGCTAATACAATTATAAAGCTTACTAAATTTCATCATCCCAGCCTTTAGCTTTGAGTTTTTCTTTTTCTAGCATTTCTTAATAATCTTAAAAATAAGAATGGACAAAATTTTCATTAAAAAGCATTTATATTTTAAAATCTTTCAATTCAGAATTAAGTATACTGACTATTTACTCAAAAAAATCATTCTCCTCTATTGGTCCATCATAATAAACTGAATCGACTCCGTATATAACTCTTTTTTAAACTAAATTCAATATTTAATTTACTTTTGATGCCCTGCTCCCTATTATACTATCATATTTTTACATCTTTTTCAAAGTGTATGTTCCAACCGTATTACTATCAAATTTTTTCCTGTTTTCTTCATTAATATCAACATCTCCAAGGTGTTTATCATAGAATTTTTTAGCCTTTTCAATATACTTTTTAATAACTGACTATTTGTAGTCTTACTTTTCTTTATATTATGTACAAAAACAAGTTATGTCTTCTGACATTAAATACTCATTATTTTATGTCTAGTTCTTTTCATTGACTTATTTCTTTATTTTTACTAAAAAGTTTATAATAATATCATATTAATCACCTCTATATTTATTATTATGAATGAAATCAGCTATTTTTTCCAAATGCAGCTATTTATTTTCTTATTATATTTAATTAGTCTCTTTTTCCTAGCTACAATCTGATTATCTATCACTAATCTCTTCTTAAGACTCAACGGATTCAGCACCTTGAATGCTACTAAACAAATGCTATAATAAACCCACCATAAAATCCTCTAAAACACTAATCTTTTCTGCCTTAGAAACAATTTATTTCACAAAATTTTCCTTGAGACTATCAATTTTCAAAAAATTATTTCTTACCATTTAATGAATAAATTTAGATAAAATGAGCTTTTCTTATACTTACTCGTCTCTTTCTTTAATTCTTTTATTTACTTATTTTATAATTTATTCATTTCCATATAAATTTTGTATTGTAAAAAACTCTTATTCTAGTTCTTATGATCTTTACAGAGTAAGTTTAAGCAATTTCTTTTAATACTTAACAAAAATATTTCATAAATAAAGATTTGAAAATAAATTAAAAAAGAATGTTTTACAACCCAAGGATTAATATTAGCTAGCAGATCTACCAAAATTTATTTAGAAGCATTTCTGCTAAATTTTTATAGTATTTCAAAATTTTCATGCAAATATTTTTTATAATTATAATTAATTGCTCTCATTGAAACCATATCAGATTTTTTTACTAAGGCTTGTCCAGGAATAAGCTATTCAATAATAGTCATAGTCCTCAAAGAATGCAATGAAGGCTTTTTGCTGATAATTTTAGCATCTTAAAGAAGTTCTGGATTATATATTTACTCATAGAACTACTCAATTAGATTTTCTCCCTATGAATCAGAGTTAAAACCAATAGTAAAGCAAAAATCTTTTAGTTCTTCTAAATAAACTGTTTTACAAAATTAAAAATATTTGAATAAATATTTGACCTCTTTTATTTTAAGTTACTAAATTTTTAATCAGTTCTCTATCCAATTTATATATTTCTTAGACGAGTGTAAGCATTAAATAACTTATTTAAAAGTTCAGACTCTTCTACATCTTAATCAATATCTTCTCCGTATTGTTAAGTATATTGTCTTTTTTTCAAGACCTTTCTTAACGAAGTATAAAAGTTCTCAATAATCTTAGCCTAGTTCTAAAAATATAAAATGCTTATTTAAAAGTCCCTGAATAAAAAGTAAATTTTACATGAGATTTGAAAATAAACTCGTCTCTCTGCTTTTTATTCATTGACTTGAGAGTTTAAAGAGTTTGATCCTTAGTTAAATTAAACTACTTTCTTTTAGATTCTGTATTTATACTCTGATTCCAGACATCAGGATGTTGATAAGTTGTTTTATTTTAAATATTTTAACTAGATTCCCTTTAATTCTTTGATTTAGATAATATTTTTTCTGAATATCCAAATGGCTTTGATAAATGCCTTTCTACTGAGCGTTTCGCTTTTGATAAATCCACATTATCTTCTCTAAATATTAAATATTGAATAATAAATAAAATTTACATATTAAATCTAAAAATATGCATACTTAAATAATGTTTTTGGTTTTCCTACAACATCTATTGTTACAGATCTTACTCTTGAAGGTACAGGAATAGATCCAGGAGGATTCTGCTCTATAATAGTTTTCATTTTTTTCCCTGTAAGTTGCAAGGGATTTATAACTGTGTTAGGAACATGATTTAGTTTTTCTTTTTAAGAACCTCCTATTGCAGTTACTTTTAGAAGTCTACCAATAGGATCATATGACATTTTTATAATATTTCAAAATATATATCTCTATATTATTCCTAAACAAATGTTTTTTGATTAATAAATTAGAAAGATTTGTTAGGAAAACTAATTAAATAATTTAATATAAAAAGTAATTTGAAAATTATTACTGTTAATTAAGCAAAAAACAATTAAATCCTTGCAAAATATTTTGAAATTGTATGTCTAATGAATATAATAGCCTAATAGCCAATAACATACACCTTCTTTAAAAAAATAAACTAAGTGACATCAAAATATTTTATCACTCATAGAGAAAATTATTATAAAATAAATATGATTAAATTTATCAAATTCAATTAGTTATTGAAGAATTAAAAAATTTTTTACTTCTTTTATTTTTTTTGAAATATGGCTTTAAAATTTATTAAATTCTTTAAGTAACAACAAAGATATAAAAGTTAATTAATATTTTTGAGAGAGTACAAAACACATAATAATAGAAATAAAAATTTGTCTATTATTTAAAAAATATAAATATTTATATTTATTAAGAAATAAAGAATTTGGATTAATTTGAGTCATATTTTTATTCATTATATTTAATTATACTTATTATTTTGTTTTTCTAGGTATCTTTTTAAATTTCTTTCTAACTTTATGAATGATTTATTTTTTAAGAACTTCGTGGAATAAATTTTTGCAAAAATCAAAACCACAAGTTAGATTATATACTTTATGAATGGAGAAATTGGGCTATATGATAAATAAAAAAATATATAATTAACACTATATATTAAGGAGTATCCTTAGCATTTTATAGATGATTGTTCATTGTTTAGACAATATGCAATTTCTACGTATTGATTGAATATTATTTAAAAGTTAGTATTTTAAACTACCTCAATAATAGCAAATATTACAAGAGAAGATTCCTAGGATATTGAAATTTTTGAATAATATTACAAACACTTTAGTAGCTGGATAGCTATTTAAATGTTTATTAGGTGCTAGGTAACTTTTATGGAAGATTCTATAATCCAATTATTGCTATTTAATACTAACGAGGCTAGAGAAGCTAAAAACTGTGAAATAAAGAAAAAAACACTATTTAATATTTTATAATAGTCTTTTGTTTACTTAAATTACTAATAAATTATTTAGGAGTCTTAATCAAAGATTTAATCAACAGAAACTTAAAATGAACAAATAATTATGAGCAAAAAAATGAAATTTTTATTATTATAGTAGCTCATTATAGCTTTGAAAGAAAGGCCTATACCTTAATATGTCAAATACAATTTATATTTAGAGGATGATTATTTGAGTCTTTCTATTTTTCCATAGCTGAAAAAAATAATAAATGTTCCTACGAGTAAGAGAAGAATATTAGCAAGTTGAATGTATAAGTTATTTTATAGGTATTCTAAATTTAAGTATTACAATATACTTTGAAGTAATTGATTAACTTCAACTAATATTTGAAGATATATATATATGTCGAATCTCCATCTAAGATTATAATAGCAATTAAAGATCAAATATCTAACACATAACTTAGATTGGTAGTAAGATATGGCGCTGAAAATAATTAAAAATATCTTTAACTACTCATTATCGTAGTACATCTGTAAGATACTCAAAATGATACAAAAAAAGTACTAGCATATAGATAGTAGAAATGATGTGTTAAATGAAACAATATCTACCAAATATGCAAAAATCTGTCCAAAGATTATCTGCATAGTTAGCACTAACGTTTTGCATAGATTAGAAAAATATTTTGAATTTTTTTACACGTTATTGTTAAAGAAGCAACTAGATATTATCATTAATACAATTCCAAAAAAGATAATATTAGAGTATTATTTTTTTATTTTCCATATTTTATAAGATATTTCTTACTCCAGCCTAGGTATTATAATCAAATTATTTTATTTGCGGTTATTAATTATCATACTATTGGGTTTAATAAAATCAATTTAAGTGTTGTTGCTCATTTAGCAGGCAGACAAGGCTTTACAAATAATCTTTTCTTTTATCCAAAATCTTAATTTATTATTCAATCTTAAAAATATTCTAAATATTTGATAATATTAATAAAATTATGGTTATGATATATTCAACTATTGTTCTCTCATAAATTATAACAAATATTAATATAATATTATCAATTCTGACAACAATATTACACAAAAAACAAAATGAAAATTTAAAAAAATATCTATTATTGAGAATAGAATATTAATTGTAAAATAAGAAAATAAATATTCAATAAAAATTTAATAAGTAGCAAAAAAAATTCAAAATATTATTTAATTATTTTGATTGCTATTTGTTGTATTAAAACTGCTTGTTTAGTTACCTATAAATAAAATTTTGATGTTTATTTTTTTAGTTTAATATAAGTTTTAGAAAAATCGTTGAAAATAAAAAAATAATTTTATTGTTTATTTAGGATATTTTTAAACATATAATTATTAAAGTATTTTTAAGATAATAAATTTATTTTTTATTATGAATAAAATCTATATTAAATAAGATATATTCCCATCTGAAAAGTGCCCTTGATTGTGAAATTTAGTAAAAAGTAAATATAAGAAGTGTATTATAATACTTACTCACTTAAAATACATACAAAGAAATTATGAATTTTATTTAAAATAATTTTTTTAGTTAACTTTTCTTTTTAAGCTCTCTAATTAAAATAAAAAATGATAAAAATAGTAAATTTATTATAAATTAATTAAAGCTATTAATTTTTATTTTAAAAATTATTAAAAAATTTGATGGAATAACCCAATTCATTCATTTAATATTTGTTTTAATAAATAAAAATTTATTATTTGAATTGATTAAAACAAAAAATTAGTATTTTTTTATTGAAATTGCTATTTTAATAAAATTTTGTAGAATTTATTTAAAGATTTTAAGGAAATAATTTTTTAATTGGTAAATGATTTATGGCAACTCCAAAATAAAAATTAATTTTGAATAAAATTTTTTTAGTTTTTACTCAAAATAATTCTAATTAATTAAAATTAAATATTTTTAGGTTTGTATTTTTAAATGAATTAAACATAGAAAAAGAAGTTTTTAAATTATAAATATAGGATAATAGGTTAATTAAGAAAATTTTAATATAAAATACAAATAAAAGCTTTATAGTTAGATTTATTCATCATTTTGTTCATTATTTTGTAGTTGAGCAAAAAGGAATCTTTTCTTGTTTTATTTATCCTTAGGATATTGTTGTATAGTTTATATATTTATTCTGTTGTTTATATGTTTGCATAGTTGAAATGAAATTTAGTTAGTTAGATTTATTTTTAGTGGGAATATATTTAAATATGTTTTGAACAATAAATTAATTTTGAGAGAAAAATGATAGAAATCTTATTAAACTAGATTAGGAAAGGCATTATTATTTATTTATTTAAATTGGCAGAGGAAAATTTCTTTTATCAAAATATCCTCGTTTATACTACACATTTTCTATTTTAGGTATCAGTTATTGTATCTTTTGGACAGACATTTACACAAAGATTATCACCTAGCAAATAATACTCTATTGAACATTTCTAGCAAACAACATATTGCTCTGCTGTAGAATTTATAGTTTCCAATTACCGTTTATTTGGTTAGGATGAACACGTTATGCAGTTTTCTGGACATTTCATACATTTATTTATAGAGCTATCTTTTCTAAAATAATTAGGACAGTCGCTAACACACATACCAGTCTGCTAATTGAGACTAAGAAGATACAGGTCTTATTTACATTTTTTGCATGAATTGGCTTCACCCCAAGTGCATTCTAAGCACGAGGGGTCGCATTGCACACATATCATTTGATCCGTATCAGGATAATAATTCTGCTACGGGCACTTCGTGTAGCATTTTCCAGCTAAATACATTTTATTTTATTATTTGCATTCATCAACTGTATAAGTTTTTGGGTCTGCATCAGGACCATTATTATCTGAAGTTCTAGAATTTGATCGATTATTTGATTAATTTGATTAAATTATATAGAACAATCCGAGAGCAATTGTGAAAAGAATCATTATTACAATTACAATTGCTAAAGTTTTTCTTTATTTTGATAATCTACGTATTTAATCAGGGTTTTAGAATTAATGATAATTTCTGCGAACGGTTTCAGGCTAAGGAGCTAATGTATTTTGATTGGGAGTTTAAGATTAACTATCGATAAAAGTATCAAAAAAGTTATTGTCATCTTCAACAATTTTAACCATATTTTCACTGAAGTTCTATTTTTTCTTCTTCTATGAAATGCATGTAGCTTGGTTATTGTCATCGAAAATGTTAATATCTTTTGTTTAATTCTTTTAATTTTGATGAAATTCATTGTGTTATGATGATGAAGAGTTTGAAGATTACTCAGTAGACACTAAGTATTTCTATCTATTTTATGCTGCTGCTCTTTTACTATAAGATTATTCAACTTGGTCATGAGCATAATATTCTTATTTGCGATGTTCTTAACATTCAAAGTTATCGATGTAGTCTCTATGACTTCCGTCATCTATGTATTAATCCTCGTCTTAATATTTATTTAGTTACTGTTATTTTATATTTTAATTTTCTCTGATTATTTCACTAACTGTAAATGTATTTTGGCGTTCAGCTATCACAGAATTTGAAATTTAGCTTTCAGGATATACGGAATTGTCTTATTAGCTGTTTGTTTTGTTATTGATATAGCTCACTTATGAGTTTGTTCTACTTACTTAACCAGATTAATTAGATTGCTCTTTATGCTTACTGGCTGAATTTTATTAATAATAGCAATTGCTTTAGTTACTCTCTGTCCTGTCTGTATTACCTGTATTACTTCTTTCTTCTAAATGCTTCATTGAATTATACTCTAAAATTGGTTCTGGCATAGTACCTATATACGCAGAGCTTATTTTTTAGCATTAACTATTAGGAATATTTGAAGAAAACTTCCTTATTTATGTGTTGAAATTTGTTTGTGCTTAGTTTTATATGCTACCTTGGCCTTAAAAATTAAAATTTATTTGTATTCCGTTGCCCGTTTAATTTGAGTTGTTTTATGAGCAGAAGCCTCCCATTCCTTATTCCGTATGATTCATATTTCCCTAATGATTAGAGTTGCGCTATTGATCAAATGAAAAAGCTTAAGGTGGTGACTATCTTTAATTAACTAAAGAGTGTCTTGATTAACTATAATTTGGATCTATGTGTAATGTATTTCTTATGTTTTAATTTTAAAATTATTGAGAAAAATTTGATCTTATAGGTGCATGACTTATACTTAATGATTTGGGCTTTTCAGGAGTTAAGCAGAGATCCCTTTGATTAGGATTGCTGTGCTACTTTTACATAGTATTTCTAGGTAAATTACTTTGAAGATTATTGCAACGATCTCCTTACTATTAATATTAAATTGGGCAGCGGTGGTAATTGCCATTTTGAATATTCATAAAGTATTCTTTTTATCTTTAGCTGCCTTCTGAAGTGTCTTAATTATCTGAACTGTAGTGAGCAGTAGTTCCTTCTGAATCAGATAGTATGCAATGTTGCTTCTTTCTTGCTAAGCTGTTTAAATCTATCGAAATTTATTATCTCATTTAAGTTTAATTATTGTTTGTTTAAAAAAAGTCTGACTCTTCTAAAAATGCTTTATCAATCGCAATATTTTTTAGAGTAGTAAAATCAGGTCTCAAAGCAGCATCCATTTCCAGCATCATTTTAATAAGCTTGGAAAGAACGCTGCCATATCTTTCTTTTACTTAGGAACGTAGTTGCTTGACCTGTTTAAGATATGCAGTTTTGTTAATTACTCCATTTAGTCTTTCATCTTTTGAAAATTTCTTAAAAGTACACATATAAAGTAGGCATAACCCTAAACTATAAACATCTGATTTATAGGCATTGTAGGATAATCTGTCCTTCATTCTATTATATGCTTTGAGCAACTCAGGTGCCATAAAGCTTAAAGTTCCTAATTATAAAAAAATTTGTTGTGATTATGATAATTTATTATTTTTAACTCCTAATTATTCAAAAATGTTGTATTTATTAAGATGACAACAATAGCTAAAATTTTTTGTTGAAGTTTCTAAAATTGTTCCTCTAATCAACTAAATTGTGGTTCAATTAATAAATAAATATTTTATAATACTCTTATAAACTCAAAATTATTATTTTGCATTCCTTATAACTTTTCACTAAAAGAGCTCTCAAAAAATTGATGCTAAAAAATCAAATGCAAAATGAATTTATTTCATGTAATCAAAATAAAATTTAGTGGATTTGTTAGTTTTATATAGAATATGTTTATTTAAATTAATTTATCGTTTAAAATAGCTTTTATCTTACCTAAAACCAAAGATTTTTCCATAGTTTTGTTTAGGTCAATCTTAGAATCATCCAAATCAGCAATTTTAAAATTTGTTTTATCCACCAAAATATTTTCTGGTTTGATATCGCGATGAGCTATTTTTAAATTAGATTGCAAAAACTCTAAGGCAGAAATAGTTTGAGAAAAAAATTTTTTAATTTCTGTCAGGGTGAATTGATTTCCTGATTTTTTCATCATTTATATATAATCGTCTAAATTTCCTTCACAATGCTCCATAATTAAGTAAGCTGAAATATCCTCTCCGTAGACTTTCTGCTTAATTGACTTGCAGAAGCCAAGTATTTGGATAATGTTTGGATGCTTATTTACTTTGATTCTCTGTAGTGTCTTAAAATTAGAAACTACTCTTTTATAATCCTCATCATCTTTAATCTTTAGTTCTTTAAAGGCTAGTATGTGATCGCTTTTATTAATATCGACGTATCTATAAACTGGGGCATTTGAGCATCCTAAAAATCCATCATGTCTGAAACCTTCAATGTTAAAAAAGTCTAAATCTTCTAAAGGCACATTAACAGAGGAAATTTTTTGATTCATCACTGAGTTGTCGATTAAGTTCGTAAATACTCTTTACACTTCAAGACTCTCTGTCCCCAATAATAATCAATTTTATGTCGATTATAAAGAAAATCTATAATATCTTTCAATCTATCTCTTTTCCACTCTTATTTTGATGATTGAAACAAAAAAAATAAAAAAGCGATTTCACAATATTTAATAAATCACAAATTAATCAATTTGTTTCTTTTCTATTTTCATTAATTCTTTCATTACCCTCTCGCTTATTCTTGCTTTATTTTATTTTTGATAACAAACTTAAGTGGCTGAAACCCTCATTCATTATTATCCTTAACATTATTTTGTTTTTCTGTGTGTCTTAACTAGATAAAGAGTTGATTATTTATTTAAATAGTCTTCATCCATTTCTCTTTTTTTATACTTCTCAAAACATGAGCTGATTCATATTAGATTTACATTATCATTTAACAAATCTGAGATAATATTTTTATATTTAAAATAAAAATAAATTAATTATTATTTTTTTAAAATGAATTTAACTTTTTTTTAAAAAAAATATATTTAGATATCATCTAAATTTTTAATTATTCAATTATCAACTCCAGATCACTAAATTAATATTTTTAGTTAAATAGTAAAGGAATAAAGAAAATCATCAATATTTGAGATAATTTGATTTCTAAATCAATTTAGGTATTTATATTTTTTATTAATTTATAATTTTTTAGCCCATAAAAATTATTAATATTTCATAAATAATATCAATCAAGCCTGTTAAAATTATTTGAATTTAATATTTTTAATTTAAAAATTTATCCTGAATTTTTTTTTTTTTTTGATATTTTCACTAACCTTATACAAAAATTTAGCACATTACATCAGCTTTTAGAAAGTAAATTAAATTAATAGGTTTTGAAAAACTATTTTTGAAAAAAAAAATTTATATACGATGAATTTCTATGTTTTAAAAATATATCTCAATTTATTTTTATTGAAGATAGATCAAATATACATTTATAAATCTAAATTTTTATAATTCCTTAAATATTAATTTTAGCAATTAATATATTTTAAATTTTATTTAATTCATCAAAATACACATAAAATAGCAGTTACAAATTAATAATATTATTTATTATATTTTAAGTAAGTTTGGTAAGATATTAACAATTTTATTAATTAATATTTCAAATCATAAATAAAAAAAAGTTGTAAGCCAAATTTAGAATTGAAAAATCCGAATTTAAATTAAAAAATGTAAGATATTTAACTTATTTTTGAATGTTCTTCACTATTTAAATACATTTTTATTGAAGGAATCAATTTATCTATTAAGTTCAATTACAAAATAAATTAAAGCAATGTATATATATCAAAACTATATGCTCATTTAATAGAAACATAGGAAATGTATTTGCAGATTTAACCTTAGTTAAATTAATTTTTATTAGGTGAAGACTTAATTATAAATGTAGAAATATATAAATAAATAAAGAAATGTAATTTATTATGGTTTATTATTGTATTGATTATTCTTTCAATTAAAAAATTTCACATGAAAACTATCAAAATAATAAGTCTCGCTATGTTAGGCTTTATTTTTTGCAATTACTTTTTAAAAAAATCTTTTTTTGATTAAAATGCAAGTAAGTAAATCAGTCTTTTTAGTATTTTTATATTTTTAGTATGTGAAAAAGTTGAAAAAATAAAATTAGATTAGTTAATAACATTTCATTTAGATAATTTTGAAATTTTGTAAAGCTAAAAATACTGTATTTTGAGTTAATAGCTTGTATCTTTCATTCTACATAAAATGGTAAATTTCTAATGATTTTTCGTTTTGGTTACTTTTATTTTTTTACTATTGTATGCATTAATATTATTGTACAATAGCTAATACAAATTAATTATCTGTGTAAAGTATTGTTTGGTTCTCTTAATTTATTCTAGATATATTTTTTTGCGTCTTATGGTTTAGATTATTTAATCCTGGTTGCGCGAATAAATTATTCCTTAAAAAAAAAAGAAATTTAAGTATATTAAATAGATAGTTAGCTGATAATCTATATTTTATTTTAATAAATTAAATTAACTTCAGGGATTATTCTTTAGAAAATATCTAAAAGTGGAAACAATAAAATAATGAAATTATCAATTTTATATAAAAAGATGTCAATTAAAAAGATTATTTTGTTAATGCTTTTATTAGCAATAATAAAATGTGATGATACCATAGTTCAAAGCATTTAATCAAAGGATTAGCAAAATGAAAATTCACCATCAGCCTCTAATTCTACTAATTAAAGCCCTTCTTAAAATGACAAAACAATACTTCAATAAACAGAAAATTAAGAAAGTGATTCAGATGACACATAGTTAACAAGTTAAGAAAACGAATTGGAACATTAGTGTGAAGCAGATTCTGATTGTGGATATATGCAAGTCTGTAATTAGCATTTTTAGTGCTAGAGAAAGAATTTATTCCCAATGACTTTAACTGAATTGTTAGGTAGTGTGGTTATTCTCGTAGTTGTCGGAATAGGTTAAGCTGCTGGTATTGGTGGTGGTTTAATTGTAGTACCAGTTTTAATGTCTTTCTTTGGATATGAAACTAAAAAAAGCATTGCCCTTGTTTTTATCACAATTTTCAGTGCTTCTCTTGGTAATCTAATGTCCTTTATGAAATAAAAATCTAAAGATGGAGGCCCTGTAATTGATTATAGAATAGTTGTCCTATCTTTACCAACTATTATGGTTGGATCAATTTATGGTGTTGCTTTAAATAAGTTTATACCTTAGATTGTTCTTGCTTTTGCTTTGGCATTCTTTATTCTTCAAAGTCTTACCAAAACATACAAATCCTACAAGCGTGAAAAGGCTAAAGAAGTACAAGAAAATTAAAATAATAATAAATCTGACCAATCCTCTCCTCTTTATGAATTAAAATAACCCAATGAAAATGGTTTACCACCAATTTCTTAATCATCTAAAAAAGAGCAATATCCCAAAAGTTTGCTTTCAAAAATATTCTGTATTACGTTAGGTTTTGCAGTTTTCTCTCTTTTGAGAGGTGGTTCTAAATTTGATTCATTGCTCGGTATACCTCCTTGCGGCTTTTTGTATCAAATTTCTAACTTGGCTTCAGCATACGTGGCATATTTGTTAGTGAAAGGAATTATTGCAGGTTTAGTTATTTAAAATAAAATAGAAGAAAAATTAGTGGTAAATACTTCTTCTGATGATACTTAGCTTACTGCATAAGAAATGTAAGGATTTGCAGTGACTGCCTTTTTAGCTGGTTTAATAGGTTCTACTTTTGGTTTAGGAGGTGGTATGGTATTAGTACCAAAATGGTTAGAGTAAGGTATTCCTTCATATAAAACCACTCCTTGCTCTATAAGTCTTTTGTTCTTAACTGCTTTTAACAGTGCTATATAATTTGCATTGGGTGGTGTCTATGAAACAGAAGAAATTATCTACTTTAGTGTAATTGCTCTGCTTAGCTCCTTTATTGTTTCATCATCTATTTAATAATATGTAAAGAAGACTAACCAAGCTTCACTATTAATATTAATTATTATTGGTTTTATGATTATTGCCTTCTGCCTATTTGGTACTATGAATGTGTAAAAGGCAATGGTTGACTTGCCTTCTCTTTTTGACTTTGGACAATTTTGCTGATTTTAATTTAAAATAAATTCTTTAAAAACTTTATTCCTAAAATCTATTTTTATTTTTTCTGTAAATTTATATAACGAATAAAAATAAATAACGTATTTTTGTATTCTTATCTCTTAAAAAATAAAAAATGATAACCAATTAATTCATCAAAATATATAATTTTTATTATAAGTAATTTATTAAATAAAAGCAGATAAAAAAGCAATAAAATATAATCACAAATCTTTTTAAAATAAGTTAACATCAATTATTAATATTGAAATTTATAGACCTAAATAATAATGATAATAGGAAAATTTTACTATCTTTTTTAAATTAAAAATTAAAGAATATAAAAATATTATTAAAAAAATAAATATCATAAATGAAAATAATTTTTATTTAAGCTCTTTTTTAATTAAATTAAATTATTTAAAAATTTATTTGTAATTAACAAATTAAAATAATTTTATGAGTTTAAATAAAATATTAAGCTTTTTTAAAAATAAAATTAATTGATATTTTGAGTGATTTATGTAAATATTAGAGTTTATATTTAAATTACAAGAAATTTGTAAAAATTAAATAATTTTACAATTAGAAAACAAATAACAAATTGAAAATAAATAGGGATAAAAATGGATATAAAATTATTTTTTTTGTAGCTTTTTATTATAAATCTATGAAATATTAAATAGTAACAATTTTGAGTGCTACAATATTAAAAATTCATAAAGATTTTTCTTGTAACTCTTTTATTGAATATAATAACCTTTTTTAAACTAGTTTTTATAAAAAACACATAAAAAACCAATCCAAATATCAAAAAAAAAATCATTTGTTTGCAATATTTTTAAATTATTTGTGTTCAGATTATTTTTCAATTTTAAATTTTTGTGAGGAATTAAAAACAATCAATCGCAAATTTGATTTAGAAGTAGTTATCTATTTATATGTTTATTAATTAATTCATGTATTGATGAAGAAGATTTCAAATATTATAAGACTGAATATACTTCCAACTTAATTAAAATTTAAAGGCCAATCAATATCTTATTGTAAATTAGAGATCACAAAATAAAAAAAATAAAAAGGATCTTTAGATAGTTAATTGATAAATTCAAAAAATAAAAGAAACAAAGAAGAAATTAAATTTATAATCAAATAAATATTAATACATTGGTGATTTCTTTAAATATTAAGCAAAGCAATATAAACAAACAATTATATAGCACCATTAAAAATCAATACTTTTTGTAATAGTATTTTTATACGAAGCAAATTAGCATCACATAATATTAGAATTAATAAGCTTTTAAATCAATTAAGTATGGATCCTTAACAAAAATTCTTGCTTCTCAAAAAGAAATTAGATTCTTTGAACTACTGCTATCCTTTCACTATTGAAAGTGCTGCTATGGTTGAAAGGCTTCTTAATGAGAATCTAAAAATTTCAGAGATGTATTAAAATGTTAAAAAGCAAAATAATGAAGCTCTTAAGAACATTGCTAAAGCAGAGTAGTCTTTAGAGCCTCTTAAAAAGGAAAATGCTAAATTAATTAAGGAGAATAATGATCTTCATTATGCTATGATAAAAGTAAAAGAAGATGCAGAACTTGCTAACAATAGATGGAAAACTACTTACAATTCATTGGAAGGCGAAAAAAACGATTTAAAATTCTTGGTTGATTAAAAGGAAGCTAGAATTAGAAAAGTTGAAGATGAAGTAAAGCATTTTTGACTTTCAAAAAACAATTTTTAAAAAAGCAATTTCTTGCAGAATTTTCAAATTTTTAACTGGATGGAAATCTGTTTTTTTAAATTTTATCTTTTTTATATAGAATTTAGCTCTTAAGACGAAACTTGACACTTTTATGAGTAAGGTTTATATACCTTCTACATAAGGAGGATTAGAAAATTTACCTCCCTCTTACATAAATGCCAACATTTCAGCTCCTACTAATATATCATTATGTAAATATGATTATTATCATCAATTAATAACTCCTTTGTTGATTGAATCTATTTTTTATATTAGCAAAAAAAGGAAACCAATTTGACTTAAATAAACCTCTAAATGAATTTAATGAGTACTAGAATAATGTAATTTATACAATTTATTTTTATTAAAACATTGAAATTTGAAAATCTCAACGAATTGTATTGATATAGAATTTATTAAAAAATTATAGAGAGAAGAGGAAATGAGAAATTGGGCTGATTAAATTAGAACTTAAGATGTTCGAATTGAAGAATTGCAAAGAGAATTGAGAGGACAAGAAGAAAAAAATGTACTTTTAAATGAAAAAATCAAACACATGCAAATATAAATCCAAAACAGAGAATCAGAGATTACTAGACTTTAGTCTAAGATTGACAGTAATTTTATAAATTTATCTTTTAGAATCATATTGAAATTATTCATATTTTTTAATAGTTGGTAGTCTTAATGTCGATAAGCTTTCAAAGGATTATCAAATTGAATAATAAGTTGAAAAGGTTGAAAGACTCAATCATTAGATTGATTTCTTAACAAAAGAAAATCACTAAATGGACACAGAATTGAAAAATCTCAAGTCTGACCTGAAGAGAATATAAATGATCAAAGAAGAAAACAGAAATCTTAGTGATAAGGTCTATGATTTAAATTAAAGCCTTGAGAGTGCTAGAAGGATAATTGAATCTCATGACGCAAAAAGAAAGCAAATTGAAGATCTAGTAAAATAAAATTTTAATGTGTTTATAATCTAATTTTTTTTTTAAATAGTACAAGAATTAACTTTAAAAGCTTGAAGAAAAGTTAAAGAACAACGATGCTAGCAAGGAAGAGTTTGATAATTAATATAAAGATTTAGAAGACGAAATCAAGAGACTGTAATAAGAAAATGAGTAACTTAAGCAAGAAGCTTCTAGAGCAGGTGATTTATTGATTATTTTGAAAGCATTAATCTATAAAAGTTAATTAAACTTATTTAAAATATAGATTAAGTAGTGAATGCATATTAAAGTGATAAAAGAGTATTCAGCTAGGCAGTTGAGAGTGTAAGAGCTGAAAAAGAGCAAGCCCTTAGTAAAATGGAGAAGTATGTTAAGGAACTTGAAGAGAAATAAGTTTAACTTTAAGATTATGAAGATGAAAAAGCTATTCTACATAGCAAGATTTCTCAACTCTAGAGAGAAATTGATTTAACAAATGCTAATTAAGATCGTCTAAGTTCTGAAAACAGATTGCTCAATGATGAAATTTTGAGATTAAAGGCCAATATTCGCAGTCTTGAGTAAGACAATTTAGATTTAAATGACAAATATAAAGATGCTAAATTAGAGGGTGAGCGTATTTTGAAGTAAAAGGATTTCCTTCAAGATTAAATTGAAAGAGCTAAAACAGATACTTATAAATTTAAGAGTGATGTAGACACTTAGAGCATAGCAAGAGAAAGATTAGAAAAGCTCTACGAGAATTTGCAAAAAGAAAATTCCATTTTGAAAAAAGATATTGGAAATTTGGAGCAAATGAATTAACAATCAAAGAGCTTGATCTTAGAAGCAGAAGAAAAGCAAAGAGAATAATTTACTTAAATCAGAATACTTTAAGACTAAGTTAAAGAATTAGAAAGATAAAATAAATTAAGTAATGATGTAATTGATTAAAAGTCTAAAGAAATTCGCTAAATAGAATCTGCAAGAGCAGAAACAGAAAGAGAAAATCTGCAGTTAACAGCAATTAAAAGAAAATATGACGATATTGTTGACAAATAAAAGAGATAATTAGAATAAATTAGTAATTTTATAAAGTTTAATTATTGATTTTATTTTAACTATTTTATTTTTAAATTTAGCTGATTTAGAGGATAAGAGACTCAAGGTTATTAGAGAAGCAGACTAGCTTAAATTTGATATTATGGATAAGGAGGAAAGTATCAAAAAGCTCTAAGACTAACTCAGGATTGAAAGAGATGAGAGAGTTAGATTAGCTCAAGAACTCCAATCAATCTCTTAAGAAACAGATTCTATAAATTAAACTATCTAAAAATCAAAGGAAAAAGAAACTGAATATTCTTATATCGCTTTAGAATTAGAGAAAACAAGAGAGAGGGAAAGAAAATAAATTATTGAGATAGAGGCCCTATAGACTGAAGTCAGAAAAATGGAATAACTTATTTCACAAGGCACCCGCTAAGTTGAGAATTTAAATAATTAAAAAGAAGAATATTTAAAAGAAATTAAGGAGTTAAGAAAAGGTAATTAAAGCTTTAATTTTAACAATTTATTAAGTTTTTCTTATTTATTTATGTTCTTTTCTTTTAGAAATGTTAAATACAAAGAGCGACAAAGAAAACGGTTTTACAAAATCTATCTAACTCTAAGAGAAAATCAACACTTAAGAACTATTAGTACAAGATCTTAAGGACAGCTTGTCAAAAGAAGAAAGAAAAGTTAAAAATCTTGAAAATGAAATTAAAATTTTAACTAATGAAAATACAGAATAAAGACAGAGAATTTATGAAATTGAAACAAATAACAAATAATTAAAAACTATTGCTGAAGGTTTGGAAAGAGCAAAGGAAGAACTCTTAGAGAGATTGTAAAACAGAAACAGTGAACGTGTTGAAGAAGAAGGTGAAAAAATAAAATTACAAAAGGAAATATAATCTCTTGGAAAGTAGCTTAATGAAGTTAATTAAGAACTTAAATAGGCCTAAGATTCAATAGTTACCATTGATTAAGAAAGAGATGAAATACAAGAATAGCTTGATAAGAAAATCTTAGAAAACGAAAAGATTAAGCAGGTTTTAGAACAATATGAAGTAATCAATTATTTGATTGATTAATACAAGTTTTATTTATTTATTTATTTTTTTAATTTAAGAACGACCTCGAAAAATTGAGAGATAAGAGAAATGAATTGAGCAGCAAATCTGATCAAAGTGTTCAAAGAGTTATTTAACTTGAAGCTACTATTAAGGATTAAAATAAGAAAATATAATAACTCCTCCTAGAAGTTGATAACTGTAAGTATACTTTAACTGTCAAGGACAAGGAATTACAAGATTTAGCTAATGACTTAAATGTTGTAACAAGAGAAAATTAAAATCTTACAGGTGAACTCGTCAAGATAGCTGGTGAAAGAGATGATATTAGACATCAAGTATTTTATTAGATGAGATTTATTTGTGATTTTAATGTTTATTTGTTTAAATTAAAAGTTGAATAATGTAATGATTGAAGAAAAGAAATAAAAACAAGGACTAAGAGCTGTTGAAATGGAAAAATCAGATCTTCTTACATAATATAAATAAGTTTGTATTGATAATGAAAGACTTGAAAGACAGTCACAAGATTTAATTATTGAAAATTAAAATTTGTTTAGAAAAGCTTAAGATTTAGAAAAAGAGTTGGCTTTGTTGCAAGGCCACCTTGGACACCATGAAGGAAAATAAGGCTAAATGATAAATGATCTTAAGAATATGGAAAGATAAATCACATTCTTAAACTAAAAACTTGAATAAGCTGATTAGCACATAAGAGATATTATTCAAGAAAAGGAGAATATCCATCGTTAATACGATAGCATGATGAGAGTTTCTCAAGGGCTTGAAGGAAATAGGGATGAAATGCAAAGATAACTTATGACTCTAGAAAATGAAAAAATTTAATTAGTTGAAAATCTTAATATGTTGAAACGTGAATGTGAGGCTAAGGCTTCTGAGTTAGATTACCATAGAAATAGAGTCTCCCAACTTGAAGAAATTTTGTTAAGAGTATGAAAATAGATAAATTTGATAAAATTTATTTTAATTATTTTTTTTATATTGATAGGAACGTTAAGCTTAACACAGATAATCTCTTGAAGTCCAAAGTATAATTTAAGAAAGAGATCAGATTTCAAGATAGCTTGATGAGATGAAATAGCAAAATTTAAGTAAATAAAAAAATTAATTATGAAAGAATTTTAATTCATGTTTTTTATAGATTTATAAGGATATCTTCAAGATAACGAAAGAAATAACAGCTTATACAACTCTGCATAGAAAGATCAAAAGGTAATTAATTAATTAAAAGCAAGACTTAGATATAATTTATTTCTTTATACTAATTAGATCGTTCCAGTCCTTGAAAAAAAAATTGATGACAAGAATCAACTTATCAAAACTTTAGAAAGCGAACAAATATAACTCAGATAAGAAAACAGTAAACTAAAATTAAATATGGTTTTATATTAAAAAGAAAAAGAAGATCTTGAAAAAAGACTTTACAACTTAAAAGATTCTCAAATGAGTGATACTATAAAAAGTTCTTATGAAAAAAATCCTCGTTAATAAGACAATGACTAATAAAATTAGTAAGGCTGGGAAAGAATATAGGCAGAAAGAAGAGAATTTTAAAAATCATTGAATGAAGCTAGTATGAGAAGCTATGCTCTCAATTAAAATGTAAAAAATTTAAAAAAAGAATATGACCAAGTTCTTCCTCCAAGCTCTACTAAATCTAAAAATAATAATTGATGTAAAGATTAATAAAGATTTAGATTGTAAATAAAAGAATTAATTCACTAAAAAATTTGAATTTATTGCTTGAAAATTTAAATTAAAAATTTTCACATATTTTGAATTATAAAAATATACATTATTATTATAATAAATTTTTAAATATAATCCTCAATATCAAAAATAAAAATTTTATGTTATTTTGTCAAGACATTAAAAATATATTCTAATCCTTTTTCAAATATTTTCTCATTTGATTTATTTTATTAAATTTTTTTGTAGGTAAATTAAATAAATATTTCAAAGTATATTTTTTTATTTGCTCCATTCATATTTCTATTTATTTATTAGTTAATATCATCTTTTATTTTAAAAATATTGGATAATTTTATGCTAATTGAATTTAAAATTATGTTTTTAATTTATTTGAGGATTATGAAAGAATGAATATAGATAATATTTAAGTTAATAATTTGATATTTTTCAATGAGAATAAAATACATTTTTTTTAAAAGACTAAAAAGATTTTACTTAACTGAAAGATTTTCATATCTTCATTAAAATATTTAAAAAATAATATATTTATGTTATTAGTTAATCCAAATAATTCTTTAAATTATGAACTAAATCATGAAAAAACTAATAAATTAATTAATAATTTGTTTTATAGATATATTTTTAAATAATTTAAATCAATAAAAAACAAAATATTTTTAAAAAAGAAATCAATAATTTTTTTTAAACTTAATAATTTTGTTATTTAGATAAAATTATTTAAAAAATAATTTATTTTTTGAGTTATAAAATAAATAAAAAATTAGTTTAATTATTAATAAACTACTGCATTAAATTATATAAAATAAGTAGGTATATTTACATTAAAAAGTATAATTTATTTAAAATTATATATATAGTTTGTATATTTTTCAAGGATTAGTTAATATTTCTAGATATGTAAATTCAATTGATTTATCTATTTTTGTATTAGTTGGTTAGTTACTTAGTTATTAGTTTATTTGTTTATGTTTGCCAGCCAGCATTTTATAAATATTAAATTAATTTTATGTGTAAGATTTCACATCAACTCTACTTATCTAAGATTATATTTATGTAAAAAGTAGAAAACTCTACTTTTTTTATTGATTACAAGTTATTGATTTTTTTTTTTGAAGCTAGAGTAGATATATTTATTTATTATATTCAGTAGAACTAAATCAAAAAACAGCTTCATTATCATCAACCCATTTTTCTCTCTTTCCTTCCACCCAAATGCCTTTTCTTTCTATCCCTTTTGAGTTAAGATATATACCTCTACCATGCTATTTACCATCTTTCCACTCTCCTTTATACTTTCTACCATCAGGCCATTCGAATTCACCATAGCCTTGCTTTTTATCTTCAAAATAGTAACCTTCATACTTTCTTCCATCACTCCAAGTAAATACACCCTTTCCATCCATTTTATTGTTCTTCCATTCGCCTACATATTTCCTTCTATGATATTATTGCAATAAATATAATTTTTAAACATAAATAAAGTGTTTTTTATGAAAATTAATAAAAATTAAAAACAGAAAAAAAATGCTATTAAAAGATAATATTTTTTTTGAAAAATTACTGGTCACTCCATGTATATGTGCCCAAACCTTCTATATTATTGTTTACGAACTCTCCTTCATATTTACTTCCATCATGCCATAAAAATGTACCTTTTCCATGCTTTTTACCCATGTCATATTGTCCCTCATATTTTGCATTATCTGGCCATATTTCAACACCAAATCCATGCTGCTTATCTTCATACCAATCTCCTTCATATTTGGCTCCATCCAAATGTATATATTTTCCTTTGCCGTGAGCTTTGTCATTTTTCCATGAGCCTTCATATCTATTTTAATAAATAAGTCATTAAAATATACCAATGTTACTTCTCGTGAATATAACATAATATAAACTAAAGTGAAAGAATATAATTTATTTATTTAATATATTTCAATCTTATTCTCTTTTAAAAACATTTGTGCAAATTTTTTAAAGTTATAAGTAAAATTATTAAGAAAGTTTACACATCTCCATCTGCATGAATCAATCTACCTTATCCATTAGCAGTATTATTTTACCAATAACCTTCATAAATACTTCCATCGCTCCAAACTTGCCTGCCTTTCCCATGTCTTAACCCTACTTTCCAATAACCTGTATAAACAGATCCATTTTCAAACTGGTATGGACCTAATTTTATAGCCCCTTCTTCAATTCCTTATGACTTAATATATTAGTAATCTCCAAGAATTTATTAAGTCTTTTTAGCCTTTTCACTAATTTAATCAGGTTCTTAATCAATAGGTTTTGCTACTGATTATGAAGGATAGTGGCAAGCAACACTGCTTTGGAGGGTATCTGGATTATCTACACTTTTAAATTCTAGATTATTTTTTGTATTTGAACCTACATCAGTCTTTCTGCTAGATTCAATACCATCTTTTTTTGCAGAGTAAACATTATTTTGATTGTTTTTAGTAAATGTTGTATTTTCTCCATCTGCTTCATCCTATTAGATGTTTGGTGTATCTTCAGGTTTCTTGAGTTACAAATTACCTTGTTCACTACCTGGATTATTCGTGCAGCAGTTACCCATCTCTTTTTTAATTTTATGTTTAATTATAAATAATGCACCTATTAACTTTTATCAAAATAATGAAATGCTATTGCTTTTAATTTGTATTATTTATTACTTATATTAATAATATTTAGTGATTAATAAAGTGTTTATTATTTATTGAGTTTTGATTATTCACTTTATTACATAAAAATTTAATTTTATAACAAACTATTAAACAAAAATAGAATCATTCATTCTACTTTCTATCATAAGTGAGTCTAAGTTAAAATATCTGCTTTCTTTAATCAACTGAATTTATTCAATTATGTTAAATGCCATTTAAAATTTATGATTTAGAAATACTATTTATATTTACCAAATTCAATATATTTACTTTCTGCGTTTTAGTAAAAATTGCAAGAATATGAGAAAAGAACCTAAAGTAGATTTTATCGGTTAAAAATTACATTTCGAATTTTAAATCTAATAGCATAAACAAATACAAAAATTTACTACATTTTATGGAATTTCTCAAATAAATTTTTTCTCCATATAATATTTTTTAAACTGATAAAATAGATTATATAATGCTTAAAATAAAATATAAAATAAATTCTTTCCTATTTTAAAGTAAAAATGTTTGAGATAGACAGGAAAATAAGCAGGTAAACAAAAAGTTATTAATTAATTGAAAGAAAAAATCAAATTAGAAAATTAAATGCCTTCTTTTTTCAGATACAAAGTAATTTTATTTTTATTTTCATTTATTAATCTTAAAAAACTAAATTAAATTCATAATTAATTTTTGTAAAAAAAATTAAAAAACAAAAAATAACAAAAAAATATAGTCAAATTATTCTGTTTTAAAAGATAATTTTTAAAAGGAAAATAAAAAATGAGAAATTCCAATAGTACACCTTACGCGGTTTAAGTTTTTGACACCAATTTCTTTTAAAGCAGAAAATTTGAAATTTAACAACATTTCTAACTCTTAAGTTAAGTGGAAATATCAAAAAAACTATTAACACCCTCTTTTATTATTATTATTTTCTTCCTCTAACAATCATGCAATATTAAATACATTAAAAACTTAAAGCTGATGAGATAGATGAATTGAATGAGAGCTTTTTGAAGATTGAGCTACAGGCAATAAAAATAAGAGATATAATAAATATTTAAAGAAAAATAATAAAATATAAATAAAAATTATAAATTAAATTAAAATTTTTAAAAATATAACAAAAAGAAATAAAATTTAAAATATAAAATTAAATAAATAAATATTAAAAATATATAAAATTAAAATAAATTATAAATAGATATTTTTTCAAGACCTAAGAGAATCGAAATAATAGCAAATTTTAAAATAAAAAAAATTAAATTATTTTTATTCCAGTTAACTTCTGTTAACATAGATTTTTTAAAGTTCAATAAAAAGAAATCCTAAATTTTATTTTTTAATTAAGAATTATGAAATTATTTTTGATAGCTATTTATGTTTTGAACAGTTTGGTTTACAATCTTCATTATTTTTATTATTACTATTTTCAATTTTGAATTTCTAAAATTATGAATAAGATCATATCTCATATTTTTGTAAACAATAGTATTATTTGTTACTAAATATTTTATGGTATATGTATTGATGAGTTTTCTCATTTTATCCTTAAAAAACATCTTTTGATAGTATCTTAATATTTAAAGAAATTAATATCTATCTAGATTTATCATTAAAGCTTATTTATATTAGATTTTAAGTATTTATATTTAGAAATATATTTAATATATTGATTTATAAAAAATAAAAGGATTGCTTATATTCAATAAAAAATTTTAAAGAAAAAAATAATTAATATTAAATTTTGAAAATTTTGAAAAAATTTGGATTTATTTTATTTAGAAAACAACTTAATAATAAAAAATTTCAAATCTATATTCAAATGAAACAAACACTTCTAAATATATAAATACAAATTTTTATTTGAAAATAAACAAATAAATGAATGAAATAAATCAACATAAATTTTATCAAATATTAAATGTATCAATTATTATTGTTATTGTTTTATATAAGACTTCTTTTTGACATCTTCATCAAATAGTCAGGAGGGAATTTATAACGATCTAACTAGGATGGTAAATTAGAATTAGGACTTTCTTATATTTTGTATTGTTCTAGCTACTCAGAATCTTCTATAGATTTTTTTTAACTAACGCCTTCGTCTTCCTCTTCCATTTACTCACTACTAGAGTTGCTTGCTGACATTTTTCTTGGGCCATTTGGTGGATTTACAAGCTACTCATCACTTATTATTTTTGGATTAATCTAACTATTAAATTACTTTAATCCAACAGTTTCGAATTTAGTTTTGCTTTCATCTTCATCATTTTCAGGATATAAAGGATAAACAATAGCTGATGTATTATAGCTCAAAGAAGGTGGAGATTTATAATCTTCAAGATCTTAATTTTTGGTATTAAATTTAGGCTTAGTTAATAGTTAAGTGTGTGATATTGAGCTATTTCCAACTAAATTATTTGATATAGCAGCTGTGCTAGTAATATGATTTAATGAAGCACCAGAATTAGATGGTATTATAACATTATCACCATCTAATGGGCTTATATCGGCATTACTAGTACGACTATTTTAATTATAATTGTTTTAATTATTTTTACCAAATAACCCATTATGTAAAATTTTGAAAGGTGAGGCTTTATCTAAATTAAAAGTTTGCTAGGTTTATTACAATTGTTAAGCAGTTAAGCTATTGTTGCTATTTTACAATGGAGAATTAGAATGAGACACTGAAATTTTTAGATTTTTATTTTGACTATAGGGATGGTGATATGGAATACTATTCTATCCTATGTACTTAGAGTCTTTGCCTAATACACTATTTAAAAAGTCACTGTTTACTTTATCTTCTCCAATTCTATTATGAATAGCACCTTATTGTGTGTATTTGGGACTTTGAGTTTACTCTCCATCAAGAGTTATGTTTAGTTAATCTACGTTATTAAGATATTTAGCATTAGTATTTTATTTTTGAGTGTGTCTAAATTAATTAGGAAAGGATGAATTTCCTAACTCTTTAATCATCATTTCAAATCCTATAGAGTCTCTAATTTATTAGGTATCTGAATTTTTACTTTTGTTTGCCTTTAAATTTTGAGATTTCATAAGGAAATTCTCGCGAAGCTATTTATATTTCATTATCTAACAATTGAATATTGCTGATTGTAAATTTTTGCTTAAAGCTTTCCAGAGTTAAAATCTCCTAAAGCTTGTTTCAACTTCTAAAACTACTTGTAAAAAACTAACATTTTTAAGGCAAGGAATCTGCTAAAGCATATACTTGAATTTTATAATATTTTGACGTATAAACTAAATTTTCTATAGCAATATAACTAAAATCAAGTAGCAGAAAGTAACAACATTGATCGACATACATATTAATGTGATTATCAGATTTATATTGGAACCTATTGAAGTGTCCTTTATAATAGCATTCAAAATAAGCTAAATACCTAGCGAGATGATCATGAGTTTATCATTTTAATTCATATGTAAAGTCTCATAAGGCATGTATTTATGAATTAGATGATAATAAATTAACAAAGTAAATGTTATACAAGTGAACTGTGTTACAGGATTTAGCATCAATAGATTTATAAATATGATAATTAAAAGTTTAAGCTATAGTCTTACCAATTCCCAGTATTTATTTTTTTTATTGAATTCAAGGTAGAGGAATCCATAGCAATATTATTTTGTAATCCATTCAGTGTGCTATATTCTTTTTAGCTTCACAAATATGTAAACAGGCACAATCACTACCCATAAAAGTATACCGAAAATAGATATGAAAATCACATATATATGCTCCATTTCATAGCAAATCATTGTAATGTCTGCAGTCACATACTTTACATCACCAATTACTCTACAAGATACAGATTAAATTAAAAATGACACTATGTTTGGCTAGAATAAAGTAAATGAAAAGAGGAACAATGTAAATAGTTTCATTCTTGAGTAAAACCAGTAGTCTCTACCTCTCTTAACAAATATGCTTTTAACAAAAAAGACTAAACAAATCCATAAGTAGAATAGTATCGGTAAACAGAGCATAGCAGCGGTTTTTACTAAAAGTTTATTTTAATAAGAGACTATCTAGCAATCAGTAGCAGTATTTAATTAACTAACAGGTTAACCAAACATTGTAGGAATAGATAACACAAAAATATCATATTTGAATTGATTTATATTACTTTATAGCTAAGCGTAAGTAATCAAGAATTTTAAATATGTGCTTGATTAATCACGACGAGCAGAGTTACCAAACGCAATCATGCCAGCCTATCTCAAGTAATATATAATAGATCTTTGCCTGTATATTCCAAAGAAAATCCACAAAGTACCTAAAATATATATATTTACAGCTAAAAATAGAAGACCCCAACGCACATATGTGCTAAAGTAATCAGTACATGGAGCACATTGATATTAAAGAGTTTAAGAATAAGGCTTCCCCCATACCTCTCCTAATAAATATTTAAATAAATAAATTAAGAAGGAAAAGCAACAAATCTAATAAAAAAATGAATAACAAATTTGTAAAGATAATTAAGAGAGAAAATAAGGAAAAAATGTAAAATTTTTAAATTGAGAAAAATATATTACCTAGAACATCACAATTTTCACATAAGGGCCCTATAAGACCTTCTTTACAATAACCTCTAGCACTTGAATCATCTATGCAATTGTCTACTTTATTAATGCATTCGACTATAACATCTGAAGATTAGCTTTTTCTCCAGTATCCGCTTTTAAGGATGATAGTGCTGTTACCACACTGTTAAGTGTTTTCGTTACTGCACTAATTACAAGTCTATTTTTCATAGTAATTAGGAGTAACTAAAGAATAACTTCCAGTTGGGCATATATAACAAGAAGTTTTAGTAGAAGAAATATTTTGGTAAATTTCACCAACCTAGCAATCACGGAATTAGAAGTTGATAGTAATAGAGAATTAATTAGAATTTATTGTCTACCTCATTGAATTAGCTTTTTACAAAACTCTTCTATTTTATATTGATTAAGCTTCTTGAGTTAACTTATCTAATATATAGTCTGGAATTTAAAAGTCAACGTTAGTTTACACAAATAGGGTTCCTACTTTTAAAGGCTAAGCGATCAGTTGGCACTAAGAAAATATAAAAAGCTATTTATTTTTGTCGAATTACTAGTATGTTGCAAATGTGGAACCTTCAATAAGAATTTAATCTTCGCTACTTACTAAATTAAATATGATTTTCTAGAATGATTGTTTGATTGAAGATGGTATTATCCTAGAGGATATCAAACTTTAGGGATCATATGATACTATTTCTTGCTCTTCATCTTAAATTTATAGATAGAATATGATATCGTTTCCACTTTAGAAGTTGGAAACATCAAAAGTTTAAAAGGTGTTATTTGATGTGATATAGGTAGAATTAAGTTAAGAATTTTAAAGATTAATGAGTTTAATGCTTGAAAAATATGAGCCATAATTATTACCAAAAATTGTGGCATTGTTTTTTGAAAATGTTATGCTATTTAGTATATCATTTATTCCATTGATAAACATAGGTACCAAATTTACGTATCTTATTGCTCCTCCAATGATAGCAGTGTTACGAGTAAAATTTGTAGTATTTATATTTAGATCACAGTTATCAAGATAGACAGCTCCTCCATTTCCTCTTGCTTAATTGTTCAAGAAAGTATTATTTTAGAAATAGTTATAAACATCGTTGCAACTTTGGATAGATAGACTACCTCCGTGAATAGCGTAATTTGTGTTAAAAATTGAACTACTAATACTGAGATATTTAGTTTCATAGATGAAGAAAACAGCACCATTACAATCTGAGCATGAGTTCTGTTAAGCATTTATCAAGTTTAAAGTTACATTACTAGCCTTAATAGACACTAAAGAAAACATGCCTTAATTTGTCTTGAAGTTTACTTAATCAAATTATACAAAACTTGAAATTAATGTTTGTTGTAGAGACCCATCATTATAAAAATCTTCGATTTTAATAAGTTGAATTTACTTGAGTAATTAGCACGAACCTACACTCATATTTATATACTAAACTTTTTGTAAATAAATTATGTTATTTACCTGTTATTAAAGATAAGTGTAATCACGTTCGATCACTTAAGTTATAGTACTAATATCTTGAGTAGTAGCCACATTTGTACCTGTAACATCACTTACAAATAGATTTTAGAATTATAGTTTCTAAGAGCTACATATGTTAATTATCATCTTGCCAACATATTAGTATATTCTCAAACTTTATATTTGCAAATTTATGATTGAAATTGAATTTGAATTTCGAATGTATATAAGTTAGGAACGAATAAAGTTGACATTTATCAAATTGAGGTTAGAAATAGTGACTTACCCAACATTTATAAAGTTAAAAAGCACACTATCTGTAATGGTTAAATCAGTGATTGTTAGCTAGTCTATAACTACTCTTTATAAATTACTAAAGTTGAAGATAACATTATTCAAATCCTAATTTATTGTCACTTATTTAATAATAACTACTTAAGTTTATGGGTTAAATGAAATATTATTAGAGCCATCAGGTATCATCAATCTAAAATTATTTATCACCAAATCTATAGTACTGACAGATGAAAATATATTGTTACTTAAAGTTAATTATTAGTCTTATTGCTAAGGTATGTACTAAATCACAGCATTATTATTAGAGAAAGATATTTCGTTAATAAATGGTAGCTAAGAATATTTAGTTGAGCTATCCAACTAAATATTAAAGTAGTAATATTTTTAGACATTTTCAGTTACTATGCTAACTGAGTTCAGCTAGCTCTTTAAATTAAGTTTATTCTTCACTGATGAAAATTATTATTAACACTAGAATCCAACCACAATTATATTATTGAAATATCCTTCTTAACCTACTCCTTGTAACTTAATGTTTCGATTGTTCTATTTTAAATTTAAAAATAAATAAATGATAATTTAATTAAAGAAAATAGCATGATTCTATTGTAATTTATGAAAAATGATAAGAAATTAAATTAATGATGAAAATAGTAATTAAAGCAAAATACATCTATGAAAGCCTAATAAATAGTTGATTGTGTTGAGTAAATAGTCTTGTAGCTAGTAAATGTAGGGCTGCTTCCTTAAACAGGGTTAATTATAAAAATATTAATTTAAGACCTCTAAGTGATTACAAGGTAAGCATCATTAAGTATAATCAATGAGTTTGTAGAGTTTACTATTGTAGGCATTCTAAAAGAGTAGAGGTAATTTAAATTTTAATCTCTACTATGGAAATTAATTTAGAAAGAGCAATAAATTGCTATATATGTACTCTATACTAAGAATTTAACCCTGTAAATATCAGGAGAACCAATAAAAGTTAATTGAGCTTTGTTTAAGGAGTAAGGAATTACTTATACATAATTATGAAATTGATAATGAATAAACAAGAGACCTAGTTAGTCATCAAATACATAAGATTCGATAAAACCTGCTGAATCATTTTCAGGGAAGGATATTTGGTTGACAAAAGCAAGTGTCTGTGAATTAATAGATATTATATTTCTCATTTCAATAATAATTATATTTGATAAACTGGCTATTGTATACGCTCCAAGGAATGTTTACAAGTTTGGTGCACCAGTTAAAGTTGTAAAGGAACTAAAGCCTACTTTATAAAGAACAGGAGGTAATCCGTAGAGAGAAATGAGTGCAGTATCGCTAGCTATGAGAACGAAATCAATAACTTGTCCTGCAAAAGTTGCTATTTTAACGGGAGGTGTTTGGTACTAATTAGTAGATAGATCATATAAGAAAAAGTCATAATCTGAGGTGATGTATGCATAAACTTAAACATTAAATTACATCGAGAATTGAATTGTTGTTGTTGTTATGGCATTATTGATAAGAAGTGTATTGCTAAAATCAGATATTTGATATACGTATATATTTTGTAATGTAAAAATAACTAGATATGTAGGAGAAGTATACATATCCTATACCTCATTTGGCATTACTTAAATCAATTACTATTAGCCATTTTAAAAGACCCAAACGAAGCTTGATAAATCAGCATAATAGATAGTATCTGATACTGCCTTATTTTAAGCTGACTGATATTGCAGATATCTAACAATTTTATAGTTCAGCCTTGTCCCAATAAAAGGGCTATAATTCCATTTATGAAAGTTTGTTTAGCTAGCAAAAAATAATTTATTCAATTATCTACTATAAAATAACGTTGGGAAATAAGATTATGTTAAAGAACCAGTATCAGGTTCTAAAACATTTACAATAAAATCTTATTAGCTTGGCTGATTGAGATCAATTCTAAAAATCTATCCAAATAAACTATAAATGACAAATATGTCTTCTTCTTAGAAATACTATATATTACTGAGCTAGTTATTTCCTAATTGGATAGATTAGAGTTAGAGTTAAGATCCAACATCATAAAATGTTAATAAGTTAGTATACCCTTGTTAATTTGAAATAATAATTAATAAGTTTTTAGGACTGTAATAATAAGCCTTTTAAATTGTCATAGCTGTTCCAAATTAAAATAATTGAGCAAATACACTTGAGACAGCGTAAACAAGCTTAGGGCATAATATAAAGTAACCATTCTAATACGCTATTATGTCTTAAATGAAGCATGTATACGTTAATGTTGTTAATGTATAACCATTTAAATTACTAATATACCCATTACCTATAATTGTGTTACTTTATGTTACTAAAAAACCAAATTAAGGTACAAATAACGCTACATTTGCAGATGTTGGTTAACTTAAACTGATATATATTGGTTATTTAGTTTAAGTAGGATCCATAATTATATAGTAGTATGTTGAAGAATTATCATAAACGAATGCAACATTCTATGTGCATACAACTGAAGTAACATAATTATATATATTTGTACTAAGGGTTTTATTAAAACAATTTATACTGGCTTAATTGTAAGAACATAATGTAAAGTCAGTGTTAATATTGTTAAATGCTACGAATGTGTTTTAAAATTTAGGATTTGCAATAGATGATAAATTAGTCATTATGGCAGTATGAGTATAAGAATATTAAGTATTTGTAACATAGTTAAAAGCTGATATAATTTTGGTTCCATTTACATAGAAAAAAGTTTAGATGCTTGAATCTATGTAGAAGTCAGTAACACCTTGTATAGTTTATTTATATTCTATATTGCGCAAGTTATCTGAAATATAAACATACTGTGGTCTTTAAACACCAACTACATAGGAATTATAGACACATTGCTTTATTTTTTAAATTTAATTTACATTACCATTATCTAATATATCATAATAATGGTTATTGTAACTGTAACTCCATATTTAGTACTGATGTTATTTAAATAAAAATTTTTAATATTTTTGTATTTTTGTAAAGCTGAAATTTATTTTTTATCATTGTTTTTTGTAGTAAAATAAAAGTTAAAAATAAGAATTTAAAAATTAATAAATTACCTCTCCAACAAATTAAGTATTATAAAATATATTGTTGTTGAAGGTGAAAAAAACTCTCCTAAGAACAGTATCAAAATTAGGGGCGGGTGAGTTGTAAGTATAAGGAAGTAAACTAGCTGCTTTTTCAATTACTAGAGGTAAACTTGTTTAGAATGCATACATGTAGAAATAAATATTATTTCCTGATGCATAGAACGTAAAGACAGTTTAGCTGTCAAATATATTTAAAGTAGTAATTAATCTTGGTATAGACATAGATTGTACCTGAACAGTCGTGGGAGTACCTATATTTAATGTAAGTATATGAAAATTAACTTGAAATGAAACAAGATCTGGTCTGCATACAAATACAGCTCTGTTATTTTCAAAATAGCCAGCACCTATAAAAAGTGTGCAATTTCCTAATAGCTATGCAGTTGCCAATAAAGCAAACTGAGGATAAGAGATAAATAAGACACTGTTAGGAGAACTGTTAACTAGGATAGTAAAGAAAGTTTAGTCGCTTCTTGTATTCAAAGCAAAAATATTTGAACCTTAAGTATTAATATTAATAATTTAAGCCACGAGTGAAGATTTTAGATGTGCATTACATGCTGTTGCATAGCAAATAATAATATGGTTTAGCATATCTTTTACAATAAATGATGGGTTTTATACAGCTATTTAAATAGCAGGAGCATTATAATTTTAATTTACTGAATTGTATTACCAGTATACCAACTTTGATTTGCATACTGTTATAAAATCGTCTTGTGTTGTTTGTGTTTAAATCATAAATAGTGGGTTTGGACATTTTGTTATTGTGTCAATGGATGTGGCCACTGCTTGAGTATTTAGCTTTTGCATGTTAGATATCTTATAAATAGTAAAGGATGATCCTTAAATAGTGACTACTATATTTTTTGTCGTTTGCATCACAACCATATTAGAATTAGCAAATAATGATTTAATTCTTCTTTTGTTATTTACTAAATTAATGTTTTAAAGTGAATTCATAGTAGTAGTTATGACTCCTGGTAAGTTTAATGGGTCAGGTCTGCTTTGTATTAAAATGCCTGTAGAAAATGTTGTAACTGGAGCCTGCTGAAATTGCTTAATACTATATGTAACATTTAAATAATTCATATCAGTTATGTATATAATACCATCAGCTCCTCTATTAACTAATCTGTTGTTAACTTCATCCATAAAAAGAGTATTCTATATTATAAGATTAAATGTAGTTATGTTAGTTATCATTTATGAAGTAAATTTAGCAGCGCTTGTAAAATTAAAAATAAATTTAATGTTAGGTGTAGTCGAAACTAATGATGGGGTTTAGAATAAACCAAATCCAATAGTCTAATTTTGATTAATAATGAAATAATTTTGTGACAAAGGGTATAAGGGTCCTTTTGCTGTTATATTTCCAGATACTGGATCTAAATCATAAAACTAAATTTATGAAGATACTTTTTAGAAAAAACTACCAAACATGTAACCAAGACCATTAAAGAGACTGAGTTAAGATGTATTAGTCAAAATTTGAATGTTAGGTTAGTAAATTAAAACATTATTACCAGGGGTAGCCCTATAAAATACAAATACTTATGAAGAATAGGATGCAACATTATATACTAATGCATTTGAGGTTGGTAACTAGAAATTGTAGGAGTTCTAAAAAATTAAGCTGAAGTCATTTAAGCTGATATGTAGTAACTCTAACTAATTCCCTGCAAACACTACTGATTAAGTTTAATTGTAAATCACATAATTCAAATTTAGATTTACAAATTAATATTAAAGAGTTTTAGGGCTTTATGAAAAGTTGTTAATTACTGTTAGATTCTTATTTTAATCAAGATAAAAGAATTATTAATAATTTGGGATGTATTAGATGTATGATCCTTAATATACAGGTACGGTAGTCATGAAAACAAGATCAGTAGATAGCACATTCCAAATTTCTATTTGTCCTTGAGTATTTGTGACAACTACATTTTATGTTGATTGATCATACACACATTTTCCTATTGTTTGCATTTATGTAAATATAGAAGCCTAGTATTGCATACTGACAGAATCGTATATATTTATTTAATTAGTTGCACTAGGATAAATATATACTCCAATATTAGGATCATAAAATATGGGCTGATTTATCAATGGAGGTAGCTAATTAGTTCCTAAATAATTAGTACTACTGCAAGCATTCACTTGATCACAAAAATTTAAAACTGGATTAGGAGTCTAATTTTGCATACAAGAAACCTCACAGCTATTATCTTGCGTAGAATAATACTAATTTTAGTTACAGACTGAAGAAGCATCACAATATCCAAATTAATTTAAAACAAACGGAGGAATGCATTACTTACAATAAGGAGAATTAGCATCGCAAGATTGACAATTTGAAGCTTAACAACTAGAGCTAGCAGCAATAACTTGTTTTATACCGCTGAACATATCTAAAAATATGGTGAAGCAATAAATAATCTAAAAAGCATAAATAATTCTAAAATTTATGCTTTGGGAATTAGCTTAATTATGCATATTTTGAAATAACCTTTAATTGCGCTATCTAGCCTTTTTAACCTTTTGATATAGTTATATTGCTAATAATTGATTAAATATTTATTATTTCTACTTAAATATATATATAATCTATAAAATTTGATTAATTTTTTTAAATAATAATTTATAACAAATAGTACACACTCACTAATCTTTTCTTTATTTTTCTTTTTATTAATTAGCTTAAAACAACTTATTTTTTAATTCTTTAAACATAAAAACTTTATTTATTTATTAATTCATTCTTTCATTCAATTAATCTAAATTTTTTAATTTTTTTTATTTTACTTCCCATCCAATTTCATTATTAACAAAAAAATGCAAATCGTTTTTGAATACACTACAAAGTTGACTTCCTGAATTTATCTAGTTTCTTAATAAATTTTTTCCCCTTATTTAATTTACTATTTAATAAAATTTCCTCAGGGTGAATCACTGAATATAGAATAATATTTTTTCAATAAGCAAATATTTAAGATTACTGGAAAAATTTTTATAGTTAATTGATTATTAAATCCATAAAAAGTTAATTCACCTCAAAAATAATATTTCATAAATTGAATATTTCTTTTCATACTTGTAATTGCTTGAGTGAACATTTTTAAATTAAAGCAGTAAAAGTAAATTCAATCAGTCAGTCAATCTTGTGTAATTTAAAACAAATCTAATTAATTATTTGCAGGGAAAATATTTAAAAAAGTAAGAAATTGTTATATTGACTAATGATTATTTATTGTAATCTTATATTTAAAGTAGGCTAAATTGTTTTAGCTGTTAATAATACAAAATGGCATTAAAAATATTAAACAAGGTTGTATATTTACTATATAAAAATAATTTGCATCTAATTATTTTTTTTTCTTAACATTATTTTTCTTGTCTAACTTTCTTTCAATAAATTTCTATCGTGAATTTTTAAATTAATCAAATGCTCACTTTGGGATAACTTATATCCACTTTTTGAGATATTAATGTAGATTTATAATATAAATAACAATCTTTATATAACAGCGATTAAATCATAAAAGAACATTATAAAATTGTAGAACAAAAAATATTTTTTAAAATATTACGGCTTTAGTATCAATTGTATTTTTTTATTGATAATTTCTTATAGATAAAAATATTTTTAGGATCTACAAATAAATTATTTGTTGTTACACTAATTCATAATTTAAATTTAATTTTTTTTCAAGAGAGTAAATAAATCAATTCTAACAAAATGTAACAAATCAGAAATCTTTCAAGGTTATAATAATATTTTGTTTTAAATCTTTTAAATTAAGGATTTCTATAATAGATTTTCAATGATTAAATGAATTTTAAGGAATTAAAAATATAATTTAATGATTAAAATAGGAATCAATAGTAAAAATAAATAAATTTCATCATATTTTTATAACAAATAAGGATATAAAATCATCTAAGGCATTTATATAGTTATTTTAAATTATTACATCTGCTCATTATGATACCATTTAATTTAGCAAATAAAAAATAGACTGAAAAACTATAAAAACTTAGTTTTTTTAATATTAGTCACATATGAACTAAATTTTAAGTTTAAAATTCAATGAGAAATTATCATAGTTGTATTGCTTAATTCAAATTAACTTTATAAAATAAGCATTTAAGGAAAGGAAATATTAACAATTGAGGAAAGAAAATTAGCTAATTTGTTTTCTGTAAATGCATTATTTTAATTCAAATTTTATCTAACCCTTTTAAATTTTAAGAGATCTACTCTCAAATGATTTTCCAAATTTTCGATTAAAAGTCAAAGAATTTTTAAATCTGCTTTACAGTTTTTTATGTATATCCCAACAGAATAATTTTTTGTGTGATTATATTACCATTCATAATAATTAGTAAATACTGAAGAGATTTTTAAAGTTAATAAAAGATTATTTGCAATAATTCATACATGTTAAATTAATACTAAATTTTTATTTTTCAATAAAAATAGTTACATTTGATATTTATCAATTTTATTTTTATATTTTAATAGTATTTAAATTCTTTCTAAATTTTAGTATTGCTTACAAAAATAGATAAAATTTCTAAAAATTTTCATTAGAAATAAATTTATATTGATTTTTTTAGAATAGTGAACTATCTGTCTTGTTCTTATTTTTGTATGTCCTATGCTGAAAGTATATCTATTTTTGCTTGTATTACATTGCATACACCTTTTCTTTTATTAATTTTTCTGATTTTTGTTATCTGAAAATTAACTAATTTCAATCATCTCATTCTAATAATAAATCTAAAAAATTAACAAATATTAATATGTCCTCAGTAAGAATTTAATAAGTCCCTCGATAAGAATTTTTGAAAATCTAACGTATTTTATATTTATTTTAGCAATTGTATGAACTTGTTTAAAGAGTATCTATCTTCTTTAATTTTTCATATTATGCAAGATGTTCCATATTAAAAATATTATCTTCAAATTTATAATTTTTAGCATTAAATTTTATAATTAATATTAGCATAAATGCTTCAAAAAGATTTCTATTTGAGTATGCTTGACTTAGAGGAGAGAGTTAATAATGCGAAAACAGTAACTTTAGAGCGTATTAACCATCTTATTGATAAATATGCTGCTTGCGTTGAATACTTTGATTCTGTTTCTAACCCAATCAAAATTTACTTTTTAGAAAAAATCTAAATTACATTAGCTAATACCAGATATCTCAATATACTGATCAACAGTACAGAATAAAACAATATTTAGAGCCATTTCTAATCTTCAAATACAAATAATACCATATGTAGCAAAAATTAAAACAACTTTTAATAGTTTATGTAAGAAATTGAAACCCCTTTCTAACATTACACATAAGTTAAAGATGCTTAGGATTAAATTAACGATAGCTTAGAAAGCAAAAAAATGATATTTTAAGAAACATAGAAGAATAAGTTATTTATAAAGGGATTAGCAGATGATATTTTATATGATTAAATTGATACTCAAGCTACAGAAAGAACTTTAGACCAAGAAAATTTAGGGGGTGCAGAAATTATAGATGATACTTGTAATTAAGGACTTACTTAATTACTCAAGAATGAAATAAATAGCCATTAGAATAACATTCAACGCTAATATTACCACCATAGAAATTAATTTTCAGGAGATTTTTCAGATTATGCATCTTACAACAATAGTATTGTAATGATAGATTCCAAAACTTAGAGTATTATAAACCACTTGAATTAAGACTTATTCTCACCTGTAAACTAATTCTGTTTACATTTTTCATAATTTATAATTCTAATAATAGTGCAAAATTTTAATTAATGACATGTAAACTAAAGCAATTATTATTATCCAAAAGAAAAATATTGAGGAAGTTTATGATGATTAAAAGAAAAAGATTGAAAGGGCAAAAAGAGTAGAACTCTACATGAAAGTACACGCTCATTAAAATAAACAAGTAGATGAAGCATAGAGTATCAATCACATTATCTCTAATTATGAGCAGTCTTTTAAATAGAATGATGATCTCATAAGAAACGATATACAGAACCAAATAGATCAAATTAATCAAAAGATTTCAAAGAAAAAAAGTAAATACATTAAAAATATCCTCAGACAAAAATATTAAAAATTTTATTTTATAATACTCCTCTTTATAGAAAAGAATTACATTTTTGAAATAAATAAAAACACCAGCGATTGTAAGTCTCCAACGGAATCTCATACCTCAACAGAATGAAGATTAATATAATTAACATAAAAACTTATTAGCTATCCTGTTTACAGCTACCAATTTTACATTATAAATAATATTTATGGCATAACAAGCTTGAATTCGGTTAATGAACTAATAAATTATTTACTTACCACTCGAAAACAAAAAAACTATATTCTACTACTTATCATATATAATATCACTAAATTTTTCCTATATTATGAATAACTAAAAATTTCAAAGTAATCAAATCAGAAGATCTAATAATAACTAACTTAATTAATAGGCTATCAATCATTTTTTTAAAACAATCTTTATACACTTAAAAAATCATATTCGAGCATCTATGAATACCTAATTATAATGTAACCATTTTTTTCAAATTTTCAAAAATTATTGATTATAATTCTTAATATAAATACTAAATAGTGCATATTTTTATAATCTTGTTTAATAATAATAAAAATAATAATTATTTCTCTCTCTTAACTATTAAAATTAAAACAAATAATTAAAGAAAAAAACAAATAAGCAAACATAAAATTTAAATTTTATTGATTTTATGCTATACATAATTTTATTTTTAATTATTTTATGAAAAAGAGGATATGAATAATTACTAAAAGTATGTATTTTCATTTCAATATTGCTTTATAAAAACAAAAATAAAAACTATTTTTTTCAATAAAAGTAAATAATTATAAAGAGTCAAACATAAATTTAAATTTCATAGTATTCCAGTATAAATTATAATATTTTTAATTACTTTATGAAAACAAATAGTAACAATCATTGATTTATTTTAATATTTATGATTAATTGATCGATTGATATGCTAATTATTAAATGAAGAATAAAATAACTCTATTTAAAAAATATGTATGTGTTCATTTTCTAAAAGAAATAGTATTCATCATGTCTATAAATTCATTATAATCGATCTATTTTAATAACAATAAAATTTCACTTATTTTAAATTTTCTTTAAGATAATAAATAAATACCTCTCCATCACCATTTTTGTCAACTTCCTTGATCATATTATCCCAATAAGCTTCATCGTATTTACCTAATTCCTCTGTTATTGCATTATAACACATAAGCTTTTATAAATCTAAAAATATATTAATATTTACTTCCTAAAATTTGCTTTAATTCTTCCTTTGATATTTTTCCATTTCCATCAATATCTAACATCTTAAAAGCTTAGTGTAATTTATCTTCCTTCATATATAAGCTCTTTTCCATAGTTGCTGCTAAAAACTCTGTATAGTCAATTTTGCCACTACCATCTGTATCAATACTTTTTTTTAAATAAAATATTATTTTTAAAATAACTCATTTATTTTTCAGCAAAAATCTTAAAAAAATCCTTTGAAAATAGAATTTTTTGGAATATAAATTATTTCATCTCTAGTATTTTGCAAGTGCTTACTAAATTAGATTATATTATATAATATCTTATATATTAAATATATTTTTCTTATTTACCTTGAAATAACTTTTCTGACTTCTTCTATATTTTTATCGTTTGTGCCTGCTAAACCTTCACGTATTTCATCGACAGTGAGTGTTCCATCACCATTTTTATCTAATTATCTGAATAATTTACCTAGATCAGAAATTTCATTTTCAGATAATTAGGAAGCTATAAAACTTAATGCAACTTTTTTTAGCTTGTGATGCTAAGTAAAGTTTTTAAGAGCATTGAAATTTAAAGGAAGCTATTTATTTTTTTGTTTGATATCTTCTTTCATCCAAGGATGAGAAAGTACTTAGTCAGCCTTGAATCTCTTTTCTGGTTTAGTAACCATATTTTATATCAAATCCTTAGCACTGTTTGAAATTCCTTCGAATTCTGGAACTTTTTATTGAATAAAATTTATTATATTTTATTAATAGATAACTTAGTTTTACTGTCAAATGTATAGAATCCTTTTTTGACAGAAGCTAGAATTTCTGAATCGTCATCACCAAAGAAAGGTGGTACTCCGGATAATAAAATATATAGGATAACACCAGCTGACCAAATATCACAAGATTCATCATAATTTCCCTCTAAAACTTCTGGTGAGATGTAGTATGGCTAGTTTAGATCAAAAAAATTCATTAATTAGATTAGAAACTTGTTACTTCTTTTTTTCATATTTATAATAATTTAATATAATTTTACTGTTCCGGCTTTTGTCTTCATAGCTTGTTTATTATCAAAGTTTTTAGAGAGACCAAAGTCTATAACTTTAATGGGAGAATCATCGTGCTTTGTCAGGAAAAGGAAGTTTTCTGGCTTTAAATCTCTATGAGCTATTCCATTATTGTGACAGTAGTTAATAGCTTACATAATTTAAGAGAAAATGCTTCTGGCTTCAATTTCTGTGAAGCGACCTTTTTCTATAATTCTATCAAATAGTTCACCACCTTCACAAACTCTAAATAATATAAACGAAAATAATTTTTTTTAATGTCTAAAAGGCGATTTTTGTTAAATTCGATAGCTTGCCATTTAAGTTAATTTCAAAAACGTCTTTTTAAAAAAGTAAAAAAATTTAGTAAATGCTCACTCCATAACTAAGTAAATGTTTCTTTCATCTTCGAATGTCTCGTAAAGCTTAATGATATTAGGGTGATCCTATATTTTAAGATAATAAATTAAATTCATTACATACTGCTTTCTTTTGCTCATTTAATAATCCAATAATATTCTAATATATTTAATATTACCAAAGTTCTCATGATCTCGATTTCTCTTTTAAAACGTTCTGCATTCTTAACCTTGCTCTTAGGAATTTGCTTGACGGCCCTAACGATCTTAGAGTCTTTCTTTTTAGCCTTATAAACATTTCCGTATGTACCACTTCCTAAAATCTTAATTTAATAAAATAATTAATACATTTTTAATTAATGGATACAATAATTCAGCTAAGCCACTTTGATAAAAAAAACATGTTAAATTTAATGAATTTACCTTTCTTGTATCGAACTCATAAAAATCCTCTAACTTTCCTAGGTTAGATTTAATGAACCATTGTTTTTTAACAAAGATGTCTGAGTTTTTATCCATTTTTCTTGATAATTATACTACTTTTTAGACAGCTTATATAATTGATTATTTAATTAATTAATTAACTAATTGTTTTATTAATGATAAGAATATTTTTAAATAAATTTTTCTTTCTATTTGATAATCTAAAATAATACACTTATTTTATAGAAATTTAACAAAATCTTTAATTATTTTTAATGTAATATTAAAATAAAAAGAACAAACATACATCCATACAAACATACACACGCATGCACACACACATATAGTTATATAAAAACAAATAAACAATATATGATAAGATACGTGAATTCTCAATAATCTCTCACTTATCTTAAAAGTTATATAACTATTCTAAATATATCTATTTGAACTTTCATTTTTATATTAATCTTCGATTTAACTCTTAATATTTTTAATAAATGTATTTAGTGTTTATTTGAAGTATTAAATACACTTTTGTAAATTATTTAAATTTTCCCAAAATTTTATTTAGCTTTTCAAAATTAAACCCTTCATAAGCATTTTATAGCTTTGCGTTTTAAATAGGGTTGCATTACTTATTTACTATTGAATATTATCTGTTAGATAAATTAAAAATGGTTCTAAAATAAAACTGGCCATTTATTTTGTCGAAGATATATTAATTATTGAGATTCAAGCAGCTAATAAATTGAAAAACTATTTGAAAATAAGAGTTATTTTAAGATGTTAAGTAGAATTCTTTAAATTAATTACCAGTATAAATGATTTAACATTAACTTTTATTTATCATTTTGATTATAAAACTTTAAATAAAACTAAATACTATTTAAAATAAGAGTAGATTAATGGTGCAAAATAGAATTCTACAAATTTATTGCCAGTATAAATGATTTAAAATGTATATTTGTAAAACTTTCTGATTGTAAAATTTAAAAAAAATAAATTAAACTTTTTAAATGCTAGAATTTAATTGAATACTATTATTACTTTTTATCTAATAAATGTACTATTGATTGATTTAAGCTTAACTTTCTTTGATAATTTATTCATGAAAATTAAATAATATTTATCTATAATAATTTCTAAAATCTAAAAATCACTTGAAATCTTTTACATTAATCACTAACTGAAAAAAATGTAAAACACAAATAATTTCAGTTTTTTTAAAAAATTAATTTTTTATTTAAATTTATAAATAAATATAATTAAACTATTTATTTCAATAAAATTTTAAAAATATATTGTAAATTGTCATGAGTGGTGCTGTTAATTAGAACTTCTCTAAGCTTTAAGACTAAAAAGACCATTTGATTTCTATCCTAAAGATTTTTTTCAATAAATTATATCTTAAATCTTGAAGATTTACAATAAATAATTTATAATCATTAAAAATATATCAAATTAAAATATTTATCTTAGAGTATAAAAATGATTTTACAGACTTGCTCAATTACACATTTCTAAAGTTAAATTTGAGATTATATCATATAATTTACTCTGTTTTAATTTAAAACAGTAAATAAAAAAATAAATCTTTTTTTTTGTTTGATTTTAAGTAAAATCAGCTTATTCAACTTTATTGATTTATTTTGATCAATCTAATTTATAAAATGTATTTTGATACTATTTTTTGTATAGTCTATATATTTTTTCGCGAAAAATTGATAAGAAATCATATAAATTTAAAATTAAAAAACTTTTGTAAAAATTTATTAGTGTTCACACATTTTTAGTAAAATTTAGCAAATGGATCAAGAAGACAAAGAAATTAAATTTAGTAAAAAGATATTAGTTATAGGTGAAGCAGGTGTAGGAAAGTCCGCCATCATTTAAAAGTATGTCAATAACTTCTATCCTGAAATGTACAAGCAATCACTTGGATGCAATTTTTTTAGCAAAGTAAGTTAATAAATGATTTATCAATAAACATATGTGAAATATTATTTTAAAGCAATTAGACCTTTCAAAGACTGCATCAGTAACTTTGAGCATATGGGATTGCAGCAGTATGATTTTTTAATATTTATAGCTAATAAAAACACAATTTTTTATCAGGTGAAAGCTTAAAATCTAAAATGCTTAATACTTATATATATGGATCAGATGCAGTAAAATTATTAGCTGATATATTTATTTTCATAAATTTAGAATTTTTAAATATCTAAATTGAGGTTCTTTTTGTTTACGACATAACTAACAGAAGCAGCTTTGACTCTATTCGTAATATTATGAAGCTAGTTTAATCTGTTTTGATAGAAAATAACGATGTAGAGTATTGTGTTTTAGGAAATAAAAATGATTTATTCAATTAAATAGCTGTTGAAGAGGATTAAGCGAAAGAAGTAAACTTTTTTAAATAAACAAGCAATTTTTTTATTAAGTTGTCTTGCTAGCATGACATGAAAAATATTTTAAAATAATTATTTTAGATGTGTAAAATACTCAATCTCCCCTACTATTCTGTTTCAGCTAAAATGGGATCCAATCTTAACGAATGTTTTAAAAATATAGCATACAAAGTCTGCAAATTACCTTTCCCTTCAGAAGAAAAGGTATTAAACATGCAAATATTAAAATAAATTAAAATTATTTAATTAAAAATATAGAAAAATGATAAAAGCTTAGAAGGATCTATTCCAGATTTAAGAAGTGAAGTAAAGGGAAGTAATGGAGACAACAAGACATCAAGTGGATGCAACATATTTTGATTTAAAAATAAAAAAATATTGTATTAATTAAATAATTTATTAATTATGTAATTCTTAAATGAAATATAATTAAATTTAAAACTGCTATATTTTAACAAAATAATTAGTATTTAATTCTCATAAAATAATTATAAAGAAATAATAAGAAATTTATTAGTGAAATTACTGAATAAAATATCTTCAAATTAAATGGAGCTTTGATTGATTATACTATTTTTAGTATAATAATCCTATTTTTTAATTTTTCAAAAAGGATTATTTTGATAAAGTTTAATAATAAGCAAAATAAACCATTATTTAACATCAAAATATTGATTAATATTCTAAAAAGTTTAATTAATAACCAATAAATAGTTATGGAAAAGATTGATTAAAATTTAAATACTATTAACTCTTGTTAATTAGCACAAAAGAAATTAATTGTAAATTTGGTTTTCAGTATTGGATTTCGTAATTTTTTTATTTTTTGAGTATTTAGTTAGTTTTATGCTAATTACAAAGGTAAAAATAGATAATTTGATAATTATTTTATTCTAAGATACTTTTTATTGTTATTTATTTTTGAAATATTGTGGTATTTTAATTTTAAATGATAATTATATCAAAGAAGTAATTGACTTTTTAAAGAATTACAAGTGGAATAAATTTAAAATTAGACTAAGAATTTATACTTTAATTATTCTATAAATTATATTTTTTAATGTTTTTAAGTTTACTTAGAATATTTATTATTTTTAATCAACACCATAAAAATATTTAAGTTTAGAACTAAGTAATATTTTTTTTAAGACAAAAATATTTTGAGAGCTAACTTAATTTAGCCTTAATTAGTGAGGATTAATAATATCATGAAATTTTATAATTATGGTGGACGATAATGAAATTTTTATGAATTTTATTTATTTTTAAAGGTTTTAAAATTAAATATTTTGATATTAAATCATAATTTCCTTTTCAATTATTCAAAAAAATTTAATTCATCTCTAATTTTTGATTCTGTTTAAGTTTATTATTTCTCTATATTTTATGAAAAAATCATCATATTTAAGTTATAAAATATTCATAGATATACTCAAATAATTTTTAATAAATAATCTTTTAATAAAAACGAAAAATGTTATTTTATATATGCAAATAGAAATGTTAATATATATATTTGTGGTAATGAAAATACTCAGATGAAATTGATTTTTAAAGATTTTAAAACATAAATAAAATGGTAAATTATTAAATAATAATTTTTTTATTTCATATTACAAGCTAACTATTTGATTATACCTATTTATCTTAAAAATATATCATCAGGAATTTTAATTATCACTATCTGAATTGTTTGTTAATAAAATTTAGCATTTATAGTTTATCTTTTAATAAACGTTACTAATATTTTCTTTGTAACAATTATCTCTGTTCTCAATACTAGATTGTTAGTTTGGTTTCTAGGTATTTTAAAACCTTTAATGCCTAATTTTTTAAATTAGAGAAAATAATCTTTGTTTATTAAATATGTTGTTATTTTGTGAGTTTAATTGCTACAATTTTTAGCTTTCTGAAGTAAAATTAATTGGATGTATTTTACTTTAGTCTGATTAAAATTATTATAAAAAATTATTTTACATAGCAACTTTGTCCTAAGTATTTGAAGCTCGGTATGATAGCTATTTAAAATAATTTTATTTATTTTCTATATTTTAATACAAATCTTCATAATCAATAATTTAGTTAGTTTTCTTTGATTTTTATGACACTGACATAGAATAAGATTTTAATTTTTAATCATTAAATTTTTAGATTTCATTTTTTGTACTGTTTGAAATAGGAAACACTAATTCATGTTCATAACTCTACTAATTAAGATCATCAGTTGATATTTATTTATCTTTTTTATTTAAAAAACTGCTCAACTTTAATTTTTAATTTAAGCAAATGTCTTATTAGGTTGTTGAAAAGTTTTTCATTGAGTTTTATTAATTATTTACTCCAGCATTTTTTGGGGATATTAAATTAAAATCTTCTTCTTATTCATTAGAATCATCTTAAATTTGTGAAATATAATTAAATTTATTTTGATTTTTTATGAAACTAGACAATACCTTTACAACATTAGATTTCTTTTCTTAATTTTTACTAAAAATAATTTCTTAGTTTTTATCAGAATTATTTTCTTTATTTTTGCAGGAATTATTTTATTAATTTTTGCTTAAGTTGTATTGTTAATTTTTGCTTTAATTATTTTTTTAATTTTCACAAGAATTATTTTCTTATTTTTTGATTTCTAACTAATCATTTATTTATTCATCAATTTTATAGTTCAAACTGTAATCATCTTCTGCATGTATTTATTCGCTACTAATTTAATTATTGTTAAATATTGATAAGCTATTTGTTTGATTTTCACATATTTGGCTGCTCAATAACTGCTACTTATTTAGTTTTTTTGTTGACTATATGAGCTTTTATAATGATATTATAGCTTCGTTTTGTGATTTCAATCTTTGGTCTTAAGACTATGAATAAGATTTCTTCATTTGTTAACTTTAAATTTTTGCTATTTTACTTTAAATTATGCTGTTTTAAAAGGGAAAACTAGTAGTTGTAGCTTTCTTTATATTGTGCTTATGAAAAAAGTTTTATTATAAAAAGTGAGCTTAGTTTCCCTTTGAACCATTTTAATGTCCTCCATTATTGCATATTTTATTCTTTTCTGTTAAAACTATAATTCTTTTCATATCTTTTGATTAATTGTTTATTGATCTAACTGTATTTTATTTTGGCGATGTACAGTAATTTTAATTCAGAATAAGTTAATTTGTAGATTCTAAGGGGAGACTAACGTTTTCATTTATATTATATTGCGATACAACATTCATAGGAATACAAGCTTCATCACAAGATATTTTTAACTTATTTTTTTAATTTTACATAATGCTTAGGGTTTAAGTGTTTTAGGATTTTGTTATATTTGCTTCAGGTGATCTTTCTAACAAAGATTATTAATTGAATTGCCCTTTGGGTGAAGTTATTATGTGGCTTTTATTAAAAATTCCATCGTTTTGACAATCTTTATTTTCTATCTATAATGGTTAATCAGAAACTCCATCATTTTTACTTTTGTAATTAAAATTATATACATCATGCATGAATTTATGAGAAAAATTTCTTAAGAGTTAATTTTCGCTTTTAGATGAGTTTAGTAATTTTTATTTTTATTAACTTCGCAAACTGCAATAGTAATAATCTTTGTTATATTATTTTTCATTTTATATTAACTGCTTTTGCTAATTTTGCATCTCATCTAATTAGATTTACTTAGGCGTTTAGTTGGTTAAGGAAAAGTTTAAATCATTTTTAGGTGTTATCTAAGCATTTAAATTTAAGCTTTTATCTTCATTAAAGGATTGTTTCTCATTAGAAACAAGGCTAAGAAATAATTTTTTTTATTTAGCGTTTAATATTTTTAAGTTATCTTAATAAGATTGCTGATACTCCAATTAGCTATTTGCAAGATTAGAAGCAAAGTAGTCAGAAAATTAATTAATAAGTAGAAATTGTTTTTTATTGCTTATCAAATTTGAATTACTCTAAAAAACTTATGAACAATCATAAAGTTTTTCCATCAAATCTTTTGTTCTTTGATTGTTGTTTTCTCTAAAAGACGAGCTTTTGTTTTATCTCTTCAATACATTTTATTAATTTTTTACTATTTATTTTTATTCTGAGCTGTTTTCAAGTTTAATATTATCCCTTTAAGTAGAAGTAATGTTTTTAACTTCTTAATTTTCAGAGCCTTTAAGCTCATTTTAATTTTTTACTTAAATCTACTATTAGAATTTTTAGAAACAAGGGGTAGATAATTTTCTATAAAAATGGCAACTTTCTTGTCTGGAAGAGTATTTGCTAATGAATTTTTTGTTATTTTAATTTAATTTTTCTTTTTATTACTATTCTTTTAAACTAAATGTTTATTATGGTTAAAAATCAATCTAAAAAGGACTAAAAGCTTACTATTCAAGAATAGTTTTCTACAATAAAATATCTTTTTTACTAGCTGCATTATTTACTATTTAGTCATTCAAAGAAAATTTATTATAGCCATCTATCAATTATAAATGTGTAGGCATTTAGCTATTTTGAAAATTCATTTTAAACTTCTTTAAATTTTTTATTTGAAAAAAAACAATATTTTTATAAAACTCGTCTTATTTTAAAAATTATACAAGCTTTATTTATGATTTGAAGGATAAACTCTATTTTTCTAAAAATATTATTCAAAACAAAAAATGAATTATGTTTATTTAATAAAAAATGTTGACTATATTTCAACTCGCAAATTCTACAATAACACTTACATAATATTCATTATTTAATTATTTATTTATTTTAATAAATTTAAATGGCAATAAAAAATAAATATTTGAAAATAGTAATTATTTATTTAATATTAGAAATAAAATTTATTATATTTCAATATTACTGTATATTCTTTCAAATAATGTGTTCTTTAATATAAGATGATTTATTTATTAAGAGTTAGAATGTGTTAAAAAAAATACTATTTTAATATTAGAAGTTTGGTATTAATAAATGACGACTTAGAGTAAATAATAAAATATTTATGATGCTTATGAATCTTATCTATCATAATCATATTCAAAACTTTTATATGATAGCTCATAGAATGTTTTAACGGTGTACCAGCCTTATAATATAATTTTATTCCATAAGTTACTTATATATTTTTACATCACTATTGTCCTTACAGGAATCGTATATTGGTTTATATCACTATTTTCATAACAGGAATCATATTTTTTTTATTTATTTTGTTTTGTTTAAATGTTTTTTATTTATTTATTTTCTTCTATAAAATTTAAAATATATTTATTTAGTTAAATTTACATAATAAAATAAACTTTGTTTTATCAAACTAAAACAATTTCTTTATATAAAAGAGTAGATTAAGATAAATTTATTAAGTTAAAATAAAAATATAATTTACAAATTAATCGAAAATTTATTTCTTCAAAAACTAATTTAATTTAAAGGTTTCTAAAATAATTTAATTATTGTATTATTTGAAATAGATTCATAAATGAAATATAAATGTTTGTATTTAAGTAAATATTTTAATTAAAATAAATTAAAATTTACTATTACTAAATAGCTTGAAATAATTCAAAAGTATTAAATTGAATTCAAAATTATAAACTGAATACTTAAAAAGAACTGAATAATAATCAGAAATAATAATTTCAGTTAAATAGATTTAATAAAATTGAATGTTAATTAAAATAAAATAATAAAATAAATGAATAAATGAATGAAAACTAAATTCATTATAAGATATTGCAATGTATAAAGAGCTATTATCTTGAAATTTTAATTGAAATCTATTCAAAAATATCATTAAATCTATTTGAGTTGATTTAAAAAAGAAACATACAAGCTAGCTATTTATCAATCTGTTTATTAATTAATTAAGCAAGCAAGCAAACAAGAAAATAATATATAAGCAGGTTAACAAACTAACAACTTCAGTATTAAAGAGTGATGAGAAGAAAATAAATAAATAGATTGATTTACTAATTAATAATTCTTAAAAATGATTGAAATGAATGAAGCAGTGATGAGTGAATGAGTGAAATGAAATGAAATGAAAGGATATGAAGAATAGTTATAATAAATAGAGGTTATGATTATTTGTAACTCTTTATAAAGAGATTGTTTTTTAATAATAAAAGAAAGCAATCAATTTATATATTTATTTTAAAAGTAATTAACAAATAAAATACAAATAAAATCAAGCAAATAAGCTAACAAATAAAATAAACTAACACAATTAACAACCATATTAGCTGAAAAATGGTAATTTAATTCATATTTTAGAATTAAGTCTTCCTAGAACGATCTATTTTTAAAGAAGTTCAAATAGCTTAAAGAATAAAATTAGGCAAAGAAAAAATTTTAAGGGCTATTAACAGCCAAAATAAAATCATTAACATGCATGATTCATTAATACATTTAAACTTATCGTTCAATTTTATAAATGTTTGAAAAAAAGAGAGTTAATTTTCTTTTTATTTAAATAAAATCAGCCTAGCAGTTAAGCCTCTGGAGGATCTAAAAAGTCCAATGCCGACGAAACGCTCTTTGGTAAAGATTATTTAAAAATACTTGTTGAATTTTGAGGAATGACTAGAAAAAAACAAATTAAATAATTTTGTGCAATCTATAAATTTGAATAGCTAGCTGTTTTAATTTCGGCTTTAAAGATTTATTTAAATCCTCAAATATTAAAAACGTTTCTTGTAAAGTAATTTTATTTTTATATCCAATTTAGGTTCTCGTAAGACTAATAAGAATAACACCAAAGCCCAAGAAGAAGTTGTTGATAAAGCTAGAAAAGGTGATTTTACTCATCCTGAAGTGGTTTTAATTGGTGAAAGTGAACTTCAAAGAATGAAAGTAATAAGCATTTAATTGTATAAAAAGAGAAGAAAATAATTATTTAAATAATAATATAAATGCTTAATTGAATCTTTTGATTAAACAATATAATTTTAATGTAAATAGAATAATGCAATTATTACTACCAAAGAAGAAACATTGCATCAAAAGAAAATCTTAGAAGAGTAAAAGGAAAAGCAAATGGCTGTCTCAAAGGCCAAAAAGCAAAAAATGCTTCAAATGGAAGAAGAGAAGAAAAAACAAGTGCCTTTATCTGATTTTCAATTAGAAGAAAAGGTAGTTAAGGTAAGATAACAAATTTTTTGTTTGATTGATTCGCGCTGCAAAATAATATTAAATTACAAAAAATTTAAGTTATTTACTTTTGGAGTTGCAATTTTCTTTCATACCAACCAACACAAAAAAATAAAATTATAGATTTAATTATTTAAATTCTATTTTTGCTTAATAGGACTCTCTTCTTAACAGAGCTTAAGAAATTATGAACGAGCAAATGGATGATGTAAAAGAAATGAATAAGATGGTTATGTATGCAAAATGTGTTACTATTCGTGATAAGCAATTAACAGAAAAAAAGGATATTCGTGATGAAAAAAAGCTTGAAGAAAAGAGAAAGGATCTTATGATGGAAATCGAAAGACTTAAAAAAATTAAATACTATGAAGAATAAGAAAAAAAGAAAAAAGAAGAGTAAAAAGAAGGTCACTTAAAGATTATTGATTAAATTAAAGAAAATGAATTGGTTAGACTCAGAGCTAAAGAAGAACAAGAAAGGGAAGGTTAAGTTATGATTAAAGCCATTAAAGAGTTGGAAGTAGAAGAACAACACAAGGCTCTCGTAAGAATTACATTAAACTCTATACAGGATAATACATAAAAATGTTTATTATAATTAAAAACAGAAAAAGAAGTCTGACCAAAAGAAGCTTCTTGATGAAATTTTTGAAGCAAATCAAAACGCCATTCTTGTAAAATAAAAAAGAGTTCAAGAGGAAAAAGTAGAAGAAGAAAAAATTGTTAAATACAATTTAGAAAAGGCCTAAAAGGAAGCTGAATACATTGCTGAATAAAAGTAATATTTAAAACTAAAAAAAATATATTTTTATGTGTTTATTTATATTATTGAGAAGCTCAATTTGATTTTGTTATTCATCTGATTTTTTTTATTCAAAAGACGTATTAAGGACGAAAAGGAAAAAGAACTCCAAAGACTTAGAGAAATGCAAGAAAAAGCCAATGATAGATAAGTAATAAATTTAAATAAAAATAAAATAAAGTAACATGTTTCCAATTATAATTTTATAGGCTGAATTAGACTTTTTGAGAGCTAAAAGAGCCATGGAATAAAACGAAAGAAATGCTAGAGATAAGGAAAGAAGAGAAGCTGAATTAAGAGTAAGATAAATAAAAATATTGTATTGATATTAAAAAATAATTTTTAAATAAATCCAGTAAAAAATTAATTAAGAACTCCTTGAAGCAAGAAGATAGTAGTAATATGAAAAAGAATAAAGACTCTAAGAATAAGCTAAAAACGATAGAGATGAATTTTAGAGAATTATCCAAGCACAAAAGTAAGAGAGAGAAATCGAAATCAAGCTTTAGATTGAAAGAGAATAACAAATTAAAAAACATGCTGACGAACTTAGAAAGTAGATAGCATTGAACGAAGAAAAGATCAAATAAGACTAAAGAAATAGATTAGAAGAAGGTAAAAAGATAAGAGATCAACTCTAGCAATAGAAGAAAATGCTTGAAAGCATCAAGTCTCAAAAACTTGAATAATTATAAAAGATGAATATTCCTCAAAAATATACTTCAGAACTTGAACGTAAAAAAATAAATATCTGAACTGTATTTTGGAAATTTATTGACAATGTGTACTCTCTCTGTCTTTGTAACTAACTATTTTGATATCCTTATAGTTAAGACATTACAGCCACTCCATTTAAATCATTCTTATTATTATACTTATAATACTTTATACCCTTTATTAATTTGTTTTTACAACCATGTTTACAAAAATAAATAAATAAATAAACCAACAAATAAATCAAAATTATATTTGTTTTTACTTTTTTAAACAAAAAGTAGATAATTTTAATTTAATTTCAGTTACATTTTGACTAAAAAATATATTTATTTTTCACACCAAGATAAACCATAGTTTATTTTTAAGATTAAGTAATTATAAAGTAATATTTTTATTTAATAAAATTTGAGAATCACATTTCATCATTTTAATCAAATTAAAAATACAACAATAATATTATAAAAATCATTATAATTTTTTGCTGAGATAATTAGTTAATTTATATAATATATTAGGTTTAAATAAGTCAATTTTATTAATTATGTATTAAAATAATATATAATTTAAAAGTATAATTCAATTTTATTTAAATATCTTAAAAAATTGTATTGATTAATATCAAATTCATAAATTTTATTTTTTAAAAATTATTAAGAAATCAAGCAATTTATTATTTAATATCTTTTAATTAATAAAAAAATAAATAGTTATTTCAAGATAATTAATTATTTTTGTTTATAGTTTTAATTTTTATTGTTTTCAAAAATTATCAAAAAAATAAAGAGATTTTTTGATAAAAAATTATAAGGGTTCAATATTGAAAAAATCTCTATTTTAATTTTAAAAAGCTTGCTAAAATGAAATTAATTTTATACAAATAAATCACTTTATATTGAGCGATGAGCTTATTTTAAATTAAAATTTTACAGTTTATATGTTTTACTTTAAGCATATCTTTGGAATTGAATTGATTACATTCGTTTAAATTAATCTTGCATTTATTTAAATAAATGGAAAGCAATATGTTATTCTCCAATTAAAAATTTTTTAGCTGTAATTTGAAAATAGACAACAAATCAACTTTTTTAGATTGATTACACATTTAAATAAATTTATATAAGTAAGCAAATATTTTACTTTGAAAATATTATTGGAATTTTAAGGATTCTCTAAGTTTGTCAGAAATATTAAAGATACAAAGAAGTTATTTGAAATCGCTCAAAGATTCTTCCTGCTTTGCAAATTAATAAATTTTTAGAAGTGATAAAGTGATTTAAAAAGATTGGGTAATATTAAATGTTATTTGTTAGATTGCTACTTTTACAAGTTCTTTTTTTGTAATTTAACATATAATTTATTTCATAAAATTTAAGTTTTACTGAATAACTTTATGAGCTAACTAAATAGTCCTCTTCCTTCTTCACCAAAAAGCAATCGAGATAGTTAATCTCAAAAGTTTTAAAAACTATTATCTAATAAACTGCAAGCAAAGTCCTTTTGTAAAGCAGACATGTATAATAATTTTAAATTACCTAGTAGAAATAGCGTCTTAGAATAAAATTAGATTTATTCTAAATCTAATCAAAATACATCAATTAATGAGGAAATACAAAGTTCTCACTTAATTAACACTTATCATACTTTGACTCCTTTAAATGGTACACAAACTGCTCTTACCTCTTCAAATTGGTTTGATTCCAAATTTTTTTACACTGAGCATAGCCAAAAGAGTCTCTCTCAGCCTCATATATATCATACAACAAATAAGAGTTAAGATAGATTTAAACAATATGATGTACCTTCAACACCATAGAATAAAAATAATAATAATTAAGATGTTGTTTAGCAATTAAATCAAACTCCAATTTATAAGAGAATGAGGTAGATTCAATATACGGGGACAAAAACTTCTACAGCCTTTTAAACACCAAACCTTTCTCCTAAAAAGAGTATCGAATATAATATTTAATCAGCTAAAATAAGCTCTAAGGTTAATAACCAAGATATATAAAATTAATATCAAAAGCCTCCTTCCTCAATTTATCATAAACATTAAAACTCTTATTTTTAAGCTTAGTATCTTTCAAGAACAAAAGATTAAAAGTTGTTGGAATTAATGGAGAAATCTAAACTAAGTTAAAATGATCAGATAAAATAAATGGATATCCCATCTTATTCTGAATATATGTAATTCATGTCAAGACAGAAGGCTCTAAATTCTTTATTGTAGGATTTAATAATACCTAATACTCAAAAATAATAGAATTTTTAATAATAAGCAAAAACCAATTAGAGTCTTCAAAATATTTGCTATCCTAAAAGTGTTAACTAAGTGAAGAAAATTAAGCAAACTGAGTAATCATCAGATTATCAAAACTAAAATGGCTTAAAACCATAGTTTAAAACCATGGAAAAATTTATTCCTTGCGATTAAGTTAATCAAGGTATGTTTAATTCTTATCTAAAAAATTTATAGAATAACTACAGTCTTAGTATGTGTAATAATGCTGTCAATAACAATAATAGCAACTTTAATCAGTAAAACAAAAATATTTTTATTAAAACTAAATAAAACAATAACTCTTTATCTTCTTTGCCTAATTAACTATTAAATCAAGACTAAACAATCTAAATCACATAAACAAAGGAAGATGCTATCACAAATATAAAGTCTGAGAAGATAAATCAATTTAAGCATAAAAATTAAATGATTAAGACCTAGATATTCTTTAATCCAAAGATTTTATCTTAAGGTAACTAGTCTTCAAAAGTATAGAGAAAATCAATAAATATTTAGAAAAATGGATTCAAAAATAATTAAAATACTGCTTAAAATGGAGGTAAATAAGTAGCTTTTTAACTAATTTTTATTTTATAATATTTTAATATTAATTTAGAGTAGCAATTAGACTCCTACAACTCAACTGGTTTTATTTTAGACAGCTTTTAAAGTGAAGAAAAATAAAAGGAGTTAATAGAAAGATAGCAATAAAAAATTAAATGTAGTACTTTTAGTGCAATAAACAGTCCTAAAGGATCTCTAAACAACGAAGAAAATAAAATATTTATGCCCTAGAGCCCAAAAAATCAATAAAATATACAAGAAATGAAACAAAATAGCGAATAATAAATATCTGAAATAATAGTTGTTGACGAGTTGAACTTTACTTCTAAATCAGTTTTACCAAAAGATAACTAAAATTAAATTTAATCCAAATAAAGTGTAGAAATAAGAAATAAAATTGATGAGATAGATGTTTCAATTACCAAAATAATTGATTATATAAAAGAACTGAAAGCTCTCTATAACTCTAACATTTAATTCAGTAATATAATTCAGAAAATTCCTGGATACAATGACCTTTTGCGCTCATTTATTCAAAAAGATAACAATAATTCATCTATTTAAGTTTAAACTTCTCTTTCACTAACAAACTCTAAAGCAGCAATCTTAAACTATTTGATTGATTAATAAATTTTAAAGGACAATCCAAAAATACCAGAAATTAACAACATTCCTGAAAGCTAAAAACTCAGTAACCAAGCTGTTGCAGTAACTTAAATAAAATAAATTTTATTAATTTTCAAAAATATTTCTTAAATTAGGCTATAGATCAGTATTTCATTCAAATCCCTCTTGAAATTTTAGATGAAATTTAAAAGTAGATTCTTTACTTTAGCAGGAACATATTTTCTCATGTCTAACTGAAAAGGGAAGAACATCAAAAAAAATAAGTTGATGATATTAAAATATAAATAATGTAAATTTCTTAAAAGACTTAATAATAGTTTAGTACATTGACAACTTAAGTACCAACTAAATATCAGGTTTGTTAAATTTTTAAATTATTAAAAATAATAATTCTAATTAACTTTATAAAAATTAAATAGAACATTGCAAATCTCTAAAACATGCAGGATAATATCTAGCACATTATCGATAGAAAAAAGTACATCAAACAATAACCATTTATAGAAAAATTTGAAAATAAAGAAGAGTAATTAGGATAATTCAAAAAAGTTAGTGAAGTTAGCAGAAATAAATCTAAGCACTTAAATGAGCTCAATGATATTTTAAGAAACTTCCATAAGTTTACTTGAAATTTGTTAAAAGTCAATTGATGATTTTTTCATTTTCTACATTTATGTCTGCTAAATTATACTCCTTGATGGTTTTTTAATAAACTCAATATGAATTGTTTAAAACTAGTAAAACAAACATGTTTAAAAAACAAAAAAAAGTATAAAAATAAATATAAAGTTTTATTTAAATAGATAATTAAATATCTCAATAGTAATTCTATTAAAAAAATAAGTGTTTTGTAAATATAAAAGAATAAATATTGATTTAAATTTACAAAAATAGTATTTTATATATTTTCAATTTTATTTTGTGTAATTCTTTATATGTTAAAGAATTAAATATTGCTCATCATTTACAATAAATAAAATATAATACTTTAAGCAAAATATATACAAAAAAAAAGTATATACTATAATAAAATATAATTTTTTATACAATGATCATCATAAATTAAGGTAACTAGCCCTTCTCCCTATTTTTTTCCAAAAGTTTATTACATCTAATTTAATATAAAATTGTCTTAACTAATGGGGGTTGATATTATATGCGTATTTATTTTTTCGTAAATAATAATAAGAGTAATTAATAATATTTAAATAATTGATTTAATATAATTTTTGAATTAGAGTTGCAATCAGGTGGTTATAATTAGTTAATGGTCTTCAGGTTTATTATGTTTTATATTATTATAATGCTTGAATTGGTATTTATTATATTAAGTTCTTACTACTGTTGTTGTTATAAATAAATATATGAAAAATTTAATTTTAAAAAATAATATAAAAAGTATGAAAATAAAATAATTTGTTTTTTTAACTAAATAGCTAAAGCTTCAAATTAGTAAATAATTTTTTGTATTTAATTATATTTTATTGGATGGATTTTTAATTAAATTTTAAATAAACATATATTTCTTAAACAAATTAATTAATTGAAAGGTTTAGTTTTAAAATAAATAGCTTAATTTTTATATTTATGTCTAAAAAATTAATCAAGTTATATAATGCTTTTTCAATCCTCAATCATTGAAGAATTGTGAGAGTAAGACGATCTGTTGAGATCTATTTCTTCTTAAAGCTTTTATAGCTAATTAGTTAATTCAAATATTTACTAAGCTAGATTACTCTTTTATTATGCTAGCTATTCTATTTATTTTTGCTTTTCTAATTATATTTAATCTAGTTCTTCTTTATGAGATTGTTTAATTGTGTTTATTTCGCTTTCTTTATCACTAACAACCATCTAGAGTACTTTAACTTATTCAAACAGTTCAAACATTTTTGTCTTTAATTCATTCCTTTCACTTTCTATCTTACCATTTTCTTCATTTTTAAGTTCGTTCCAAAGACTCTTTTCTTATTTAAATTGTTCTATCAGACTATTAACTTCTTCAGATTTAGCTAATTCGAGCTAATTCATCTTTTCTTCATAATCATTAACTAATTTTTGATTCTCTTCCTGTTCCAAGATGAATTTTGTTTCTAAATCTTTGCTTTTGCAAAGCAACTAATCAATAACTTATTCATTTTAAATATTTTTATCACTTAATTATTTAATTTATTCTTAATAGTTAGAACTTTGTTCTGTTTAACTTTTAATTTTAGATTGCAATTCTTCTAAGATAGATACCTAGGTTAATAGTTCTTTTTGATGTTTATCATTCAGCTTATCGTTTTGTTACTTTAATTAGTTAATTTCACTTTACAAAAGTTTGACTTATTCTTGCAATTATTTATTTGTTTCCTTAAAGTTATTACTGGTGTTTATATTTTCCTTTTGCTATTACTCTAAGACTAATTTTTAATTATTAAATTATTCTTTTAAATCCTATGCACTTGCTTTTTCTTGGTTAAGTTCTTTGCTAATTTGATTGTTTTTGTTTTATAATTCAGATATTTTTTATACTTGGTTTTCAATAGTTGATTTCAGTTCATCAGCTTTAGCTTTTTCGCTGTTAATTTATTTATTTTAATCGTCAACTTAGATTTGTAATTTTTTTAATTGATCTTTCATGCTATTTGCATTTTGAGTATTTTATTCGATTTTATTTTAGAGTTCTGATAACATTTTTTCTAATTAAATCTTAGAATTATCAAGTTCTTTATTTAGCTAAACTTGATTTTTCAAATCTGCTTCAGCTTAATTTAATTTTTCTTGGTTTTATTTATTTTAACTAATTAATTACTTTTTAATTTCTTCCAAATTTTAAATTGCAGACTCTTTTTCCTATTTTTCTTTCTCTAAGAGTTAAATTAAGTTTAATAAATCATTCTACTTTAATTCAAATTGTTTATAAACATCTTCTAAGTTAGCACTTTGTTTTGATAGCAATGTATTACTTTGTAATAACTCATTTTGTTTATTCTCAAACTCTTTTGTTTTACATGAATGCTCTTCTTATATTCTTTTAATGTGTTCTTCCAAATTTAAAACTTTAACTTCTAAAATATTTTATGAATCAATTAATTTAGATTTTTCTTCTTCTACATTTATCAATTTATTTTTGATTTCCTATTCTTGTTTTTCATAGTTTTCTAATTTAACTAGCAATTATTTTAATTCTTAGTCTTATTGTTGATACTTTTTGTTAATTATTTAAGATTGTTCTTTTTCTTCTTAATATTATGAGCTCATTTTTTCTTTCTGAGTATTTATTTCTTCCAATTATTTATCTTTTTATTTAATAAGCTTTAAATTTTCCTAATTTTGCTTTTCTAACTCAGAATTAACGTTTGTTTACTTCTACAAATTATCTTGCAATTATTTAATATTTTTCTAATACTCAGAAGCACTGCTTTTAATTGTTTATTGTTAAGCTTTTAACTTACTTTCTAAATCATTTAGTTTTTCATGATTTGAATTATTTAACTCTTATAACTCTTCAATAAGCTTTTCACCATTCTAAATCTTTATATTACTTTGCTCAGTTATATTACTTATATCTTAATTAAGTTAAACTATTTTCTATGATAATTATTATTGCTGTTCTTCTTTATTCTTCATTTACAAAATTAATCCTGCTATTTCTTGGTTCTTTAAGTTTAATTAATTTTACAAAGCTTTTTATTCATTAGATAATTATTCTATCTATTCAGAATGTCCTTTTATCACTTAATTTAAACTTTTTTCTTTCTAGATGAAATTTTCTTATTCAGCTTTCAATACAGAATTTACTTGTTTAATTTGTTGTTGTAACTCCTCTTTTTCTATTTTGTGATTTTTGCTATTTTCTTCCAAAATAACTTTTTACTTTTGCTCCCTTTGTTTTATTTGTGCTAGTTCACTCTCTAGCTAATTAATTTGCTATCTCTCACTTTTTGATTGGTTGGAAGAATCTAATTAAAATTATTCTAATTCTTGTTTGATTTGATTTTTTTCTCTAGTTATAGTTTCCATCTATTAGCAGAACTCTTATAATTACTTAGATGATTCTGTTTGCTCTAAATTTTTCTAACTATTTATTACATCTAATTCCTCTCTTAAGCCATTTGCTTCTTTAGTTTTAGCAGAAATTTACTCTTTCTATAACAAATTCTCTTTTTCAAACACATTCAATTAATTTTAAAGTTACTATATTTGATGTTCTTAATTCTATTTATTTAATTAAAGGTCTTAAATTTTTTAATTTAATTAGACGCAGTTTTCTTATAAAGCCTCAAATTAATTTTATTGTTCTTTAGAAATTTTATTTTTTTCTTCCAATTTCTCTTAAACTGAGTTTAATTCTTACTCTAGTTACTCGACCTGCTCTTTTAAGGTTTTATTTAAAAAGTTATTTTTAATATTAAGTTCTTCAATTTGATGAATATTTTATTGGTTTTAGCTTTTGAGTTAGTTGTTTAGTTCATTTTATTAACATATTTATGTGGTGAGTTCTTCTATTTTTGCTTATAAACTTTGAATAGTTTATTTGTTATTTGATTGAGTTGTTTTTAATTAATCTTTGAGATCTTAAATATTTTTCTACAATTCTTATTTTTCTTAAATAACTAATTTGTTATTTGCACCAAGATTGCTTAATTCATTGATTTAAACTTAAAAGTTTTGATTTTACTCCTCAATTTATTAAAGTAACTTTTAAATTTCTAACTAAAGATCTTTTTCTGTTTATTCTGATTAATTTGTAATTTCTTGTTTCTCCTATTTGAGTTATTCAAGAGTATCTTAAATTTATTTAATATTTTCTTGATAGTTTTCAACTTAAGAGTGTAATTAAGAATTAATTTACTCACTTTCTTAAAGTTATTATTGAATTATTTAAATTTAGTTATCTTGTTATAATTTTGATGCTTTTAAGTCATCAATTACCACACTCATTTCTTCTATCGATATTATTTTTAGTTTAAGTTCTTCTTTTATCTAATTGTTAAATTATGCTAATTGCTAAAGATCGAAATTTTACTTTTCTAAGATATCTAATTAAGCATTTACCTAATTCTCAATAATATCTTAATTCTCTTTTTGCAGATCCTCATTTTACTTAATTAATTTTTAAATTTCTAATTTTAAAGTCTAAACAGTACTTTGCTCATCTTTAATCTGTATTTTAAATTCTTCTAACTATCTAATTAAACTTTTCTTTGTTTCATCTAATTCAGTTATTTTATTTTGATAAGAAAAACATTTTTCTTATAAGCTTTAATTTTCATGTTCGTATTGCAAACATTTATTTCTTTCATTTTCAATTTCCAAAATTTAATTTGAATAGTTTTAATCTAAATTATCGAGTTTGTCTTTTAAGCTTTTGTTTTCACTTTCTAAATTTTTAATAGCATTCTCCAGTTTTTAGTTTCTATCACTCTCTTTTATAAATTCTCCTCTTTACTCTTCAAATAGTTATTCAAGAGACATCTTTTGTACAGAGAGTTCATTATATTCATTTTTAGTCTCCTTATTTTATTCAACTATATCTTCAAGTCTCTGTTATATTTCCTCAATTTATAACTTTTATCTTTCACATATCTCAAACTATTATTACAAAGACTATGTATTTAGCTCATTCTGCTATCTCTCAGTCTAGTACATATTTTTGTATTCTTAAAGTTGATTAACAATCTTTTGTTATTCTTCTTATAATAATTAAATCTAATTACTTGAATCTAGCTCATTCTCAGCTAACTTTTATTCAAGTTGAGATATTGTTTTTTCAAAATTAATTTTCTCTTATTCAAAGATAAGGATTTGCTTTTTCATTTCTTCGGTGAATTAAGATTCAGACATTTTTGATTATAAAGTAAGAGAATCTGCTTGTTTAGTTAATAACAAAACTTAATCTTCAAGTTATTATTTAGTTTACCTTAATTCATCAATAGTGTTTACATTAATTTGGGCTTAGCTAACTACTAAAGCAAGTTTGCTTTGAAGTTCTTCCTGCTCTTTTTACATGATTTACTTGTCATTCGCTGAAGTCTTTTTCAATTTATTGATAGCTTCTACCAGTTACTCCATTTTCAATAAAAACTCTTCTCTTTCCTTCTTTAAGTTTTAAATCTATTCTGAATTTTCAGTTCTCAAAATTGATGTTTCATTAATTAAATTATCTAATTACTATTATAATGATTATATTTCTTATTGTAACTATTATATATTTTGATTTTTTTATTCATTTTATTCTCTTAGTAATTAATTCTCTTCTTTAGAATCTTCAAATTAATTTCTTAAATTTAATAGCTTTTCATCTTGTTATTTAAGTAATTCAGTAAATTCTCTCTTTTGTTTTTCTATACTCTCACTTTGAATTAATTAATTTTCTTGTTACATTTTAATAATATTTTAATTTTAATTCACAACTTAATTTTCTAAGTTTTGATTTATTTCTTTTTATTATTTAATAGCATTTTCTAATTATGTTTTTTCATTCTCAAAGACAGCAGTCAATTAATTTATTTATTCAATATTTTCAGATTTGTAAGCATTTAATTTTAGACTGAATTCTTCCTTAAGCTAGTTATTTTCTGTATTTAAAACTTAAATATTTTAAATATTTTCTGCTATCTGATCTTCTTAGCTTTTAATTTTTCCATTTTTCTACTCTAGTTCAGTTTTTATTTCATTATTTAAAGTCTATAAATGGTCTATTTAATTAGATTTTTATTAAATTTCCTAATTTATATTTTCAATAGCTTTTTGAAGTTCTTACTTTTCTTAATTTAGTTTATTATTGATAGATAACAGCTCATTCTTTTAAATTAAGGTTTCCTCATAAATTTGTTAAATATTTTCTTTTTCAATTTAGTCTATGATTTGTTACTTTTCTTACAAAGCATCTTATAATTAAGAAATTTATTCTTGCAAATTGCTAATATCATCAACTTAAACTCTTAAATTTAAGATAATTTGTTCTTTTTATTTGATAGTTTACATAAATTATTCTTAATTTTACTAAATTTCTTCCTATAAATTATTAATTTTTTGTTATTTTTCTTCTATGTTTATTTAATTTAGCTCAATTTTTTTCAAATTCTCATTTTTTTCAATGTCTCTTTCTTCTTAAACTTTATTTACCTGTTCAATAAGAATTTCTTTTTCTCCAATTAAGCTTTCAATTTATTTTTCTAATTTTACTATTTAATTTTCGTAGCCTAGCTAAATTTATTCTACTTTCTTTTTATTGCTCTCTCTTTCGTTTTCTAATTCTAATTCTAATTGAGATACTTAGTTTTTAAAATTTTAAGATTAATCTTCGTAGTTCTTACTTTATGCTAGATGATTTTCCTCTAATTTTTTAATCTAATTCTACATGGTTTGATTTGCATTTTCTAATTGTTATCTCTCTTATATAACTTAATCTAGACTTTACTTTGTTACTTCATAATTTTTTAAATTAATATTGCTCTATTAATGAAGTTCTTCTAATTTCTATAACAAAATATTTTTTTCATTTAAAACTTCATTATAAGAAACTTGTAAGTTAGATTATTCTTTGCGAGATTTTTTGACTTTCTCTTCAGATTCACCACTAACTTCAATTAACTTAGCATATTCACTTTATTACTCGTTCAATTTTAAGATAAGTTCCTAGTTTTTCTCCTATTATATTTTTAATTCATTCTAAAGGTCTTAGATCAGAATATTTTACTAATTCAATTCTTCTTATAGAAGCAAATAATCTTCATCACTCTAAGTAATTTTTTGTTCCTAACTCATTATTTATGTTTAGAATTTTGAAATTTTATCCATTAATTCTTTTTACAGTTATTCATTTTCTTTTTACAATTTATTGATAGTTTCTTACATACTGGCATTTATCTTTTAATTATCTTGATTTTGCTAATCGATCGTAGTATTTAATTTTTCGTTATCTATTTTTAAGCTTTCAAGTTAATTAAAATTAATCTATAATTATGTTTCTTTTTCACTGCTTTTCTATTATAAATCTTTGATCAATAAATTAAGCTCATCTTCTTTCTTTTTATAATCCAAAATATCTTATTCTAATTATTAATTATTTTTTTACAAATTTTAAATTAGTTCTTAATTCTCATTTCCTCTGATTTAAATTTGTTATGATTTTTCATACAATTCAGTCTCTAACTTATTATTCTTAGAAACTACATCATCAAGTTATTTTTTTAAATTTAAGTATTCTTATTCGTTTTATTTAATGGTTTGAGTGGCTTCGTTAAACTTTTATTGATCTTGAGATATAATATTCTCTTTTTCTTAGATTTGCTCATGCAACAACTCAATTAATTGCTATTATTATTATATTTCCTATTCTTGCTATTCTATTTATTCACTCATTTCCTTTAATTACCTTTCTAAATTCTCTTTTTCTTGTTGATCTTAGATGTATTCAGAATTCTAATTAGCAAGTCTTTCATTCTTTTAAAGCAATTAATTTACTTGATTTTACAAGTCTAAAATTTATGTGTTTAATTCATTTTTTAATTATTCGCATTATTGCTAAGAAGACAATTTTAATTAGTTAACTTGTTAAGAATGAATAACTTTTAATTCTTCAGAACTCTAAAACAGTTTGTTTTTTTCCAATTGCAATTACTTAACTTAGTCTTCCAAATTAATGATTAAAATTTCCTTTTCTTTTAATGAGTCTTATAATTATATTAAATTCAAGTTAATTTCTTAACTATTTTCATTTTACTTAGAGATATTTTCACATTTTAACTTCTATTGACTTATTTCTTCGTTGAGTTAAATTATTTATGCTTTTAAGATCGCATTTTCATATTAATATTATTTTTAAATATTTTAGGTAGTTAAATTTTCTATTTATTTTATTTGGATCTCTTTCTCTTAGACTTATTAATTGAGTAAATGGGCATTATTTTTTAACTATTGGATTTCTTTATTGAGGCTTTCTTTTTCATGGCTAAATTACTTCTTACTTTCTTATAATTCATTTTAGACCTATTTAATTTCTATTTCATATGAAAGCACTTGCTCTTGTAATATTTTTCTGAGTTTCGATTGCTCCTCTTCATCATGAATGTAAGACATGGACATACTTAGTTAGCTTCTACTTTTAAGATCTTCTAATTCTCTTTTCATATGCACTTCTTTCTCTCCTTTTTGTAAATTTTCAGTTAAAAGCTTTTGATTTACTCTCAATATTCTTTCATTTTATTCTTAAAGATCATGTAACTTTATTGCTTCATTCTTTGATACAGTAGAATTACCTTCGATTGGAGGAAGACTGTTACGTTAAACTTTAGAAAGTGCTACAATTTACTCAGAAAGAATACGGTTTTCTTCTTATAATTATTCAATTCTATCGTTATGGGCTATCTAAATTGAACTTCTATCAGTCATAATGCTTTGATACATACTACGATTACGTAGCTCATCTACTTCTTATTATAATTATTAATTTTATTATTATAAATTAAGAACTTATTCTGATAGTCTTTAATTAGTAGAAAGAAGTTGATCGAACTACTACTTATTCTAATTCATAAGCTTTTCTTTAGACTCCATATTCATTCTTTATGCTTACAATAACTACAAATCAGCTTATTCCTTTTCTAGTTCTTCAATCCTGTCTTGTTGCTTCTTTAATAATTCCTCTAGCTTTTTAACTTATTCAGAGAATAGTTATTTTTACTTAGTAAACTGCTATTAATTTTATAGTGTAACTTAATTTTATTAACTTTATTAAGATAAAGTAGATTCATAATGTTATTTCATTTCTTTCATCTGCTACATTAAAGCCTCATTCAGTTCTGTTTATTTTTCTAATTTAGATTTTAGAACTTCATTGTCTCCATTTCTTTCAAATGTGCTCTTTATTATAATTTTTATTATTTATGAAAAAATATTAATATAAATTAAATATCAGTTAATTACGGAAATATCTAGTCTAGAGTGTGACATATTTCTAAGCATTTCTATTTCGTCCATGAGCTTTTTGTTCATATCAGAGAGAGATGCCATTTCTTCAATTAGCTTTTTATTTGTTTCCATAACAGTAACTAACTAATCAGATTTTGATGGGGATGAACCACCATTAATCTAATGAAGAATATTAGACATTGAATCATTCTAGTGTTATTCTATTAACTTTTCATAATTTTCTTTCAAATTCTTCATTTATTCAGTCAATAATTGATTTAATTGAGTTTATTAATCTAGTTTTCTTTTTAAACTTGATGCTTCGTTAGCTTTTTCATAGACATTCTATAAAAATTAAATATATTATTTTATTTTAAGTATAACTTTAAAGTAATTTATTTGCTAAATATTTACACTAATGTCGAGCTGTGAATGTGAGGGATTTCTAATTGAATCTAATTCTTCTTATAGCTTTTTATTCATTTGAGCTAATTGTACATTTTCTTCAATTATTTTTTGGTTTGTAGCAAGCAGAGAAGCGAGTGAGTTTTTTTGTTAAATAGACTAAGGATTTAAAATACTTGACATGGATTAATTATGTAAATCTATAACTTATTCATGGTTTTCTTGCATTTCTTTCATTTATTTATTCAAAATTTAATTTATTTTGGTTTGTTTTTCCAATTTCTTTTGCAGCTCTTCAATCTCATTACCTCTGTCGTATGCATTCTTAATTAATTTATAAATACAATTTTAAATAATTGAAATTTAATTTATTTTTTACACTAAGATCTATCTTAGAATAAGAAGAGTTTTTCAAAATGTCCAATTCATCCATTAATTTTCTATTTTTCTAACTCAACTCAGAATTTTCTTGAATCAGCTTCTTGTTAGACTATAAAAGAGAATCCAACTCAGCTTAATGTTGCTTGACGTTAAATTTATTTTGCAATTCTTTCTGCAAAGACTCAACTTTTGCTTTAAGGTAAGCATTTTCTGACTTTATAGCCTCTGTGTCTTCAAGTATGCTCAATCCCATTATATTTTCTTTTTCTTTAAAAAATATAAAAATTCTAAAATTAATATTTAAAAAAATTATTTATTTCTTAAAATTACTTTGTCTATTCATACTTTAGAGTTAATCTATTTGCATCTTTAAATTTATAATTTCTTTTTCTTTGGATTCTTAATAGAATCTAAAAGTTTACTATCCATGAGAAGTAGGAAGTATAAGATCATCTTCTAAAATAGAAGACTAATTCAAGAATGACATTTCCAAATTACCTTAATTTGGATTAAAGTCTTTTTCATTTTTTAGCATTTGCAGCTACTTTTGTAGATGATTTATAGTGATGTCTTTTTAAATAATTTAATTTTAAAGATTTTCATTAGTTGTTTAGTCAAATTATGTTATCAATGTTTTTCTAGCTGAATCAGCTTACATTATTTTTTTGAGCTAGTTCTTTGTTATCTCCAATTCTGTTTACAAATCGTTTATAATTTACTATTAATTTTTATTATCTAAATTCTTCTCTGCACTATGATAGTTAGAGTTGCTATTAGCATTATCTGAACCTCCAAACTTAAATTAGCTCACAGGAGACTATAACTGTGAACTTATTTAAATAGGTTTTTTAGTATTTTGAAGATGATTAGGTCTTTAAGCTGTATTTTATGAGCTTTTGCTATCATAGTTAATTCTCGATACCTATACCTACAAATTAGAATTTTCTCTCTTCAAATTTTCTATTTCCTTAATCAAGCTGTCATTAAGTTTTTTTAATGACTCAATCTCTTAATTTGAATTAGAACTTGATTATTTAATGCCTTGAACATTTAGAGTTTATGATAAAGGTGGCATTTGAATATTGCTTTGTGAGGCTATTCCTTTAATCTTTTTAGATCCTATCATCCGTGATTACATGTCAGATTTTTGGGTTAGTATTTATGAGGTTGCTCCTTATGTTTAAAATCCTTATTTTAAAAGAGCTATCTCTTCTTGCAACTTTGTAGTAAGAATTTTTTCTTCTTTGTATTTTTATTCATAAATTCTAAATTCACTGAAACTCTCATTGAGTTTTTATTCTCTTAATTGTGCTTCCAATTGCTTAATTTATCTTCTTAATTCCTATATTTACTCTTATCCGTTTTCTTATAATGAGATATTACTCTAATTTAAATCTAAATTTTCTTATTTTTAAAATGAATAAATGAATGAATTAATGCCAATCAAAATAAATAACTAATACTAATTTAATTTGTTGCACGTAAAATTTATGAGCGAGCTTCTTCAGGCACAATCATAGTCTGCTTCATCATATTATTTTCGAATTCAAGGTTTTTAATTTTGTTCTAAAGTGCTTCCTTATCAGTCATTAATACCTTAACTTTTCTTTTTAGATCGTTGTCCTCTTTTATTTAGTAAACAACTTAGAGACTCTAATCCAATATCATCGATTAATTAACATTTTTATGGAAATTATCCTCCTATGACTCCTTAATTTGCTCTATCATCTTTGTATATATCTCTATAGTTGATTTTATTTCTTCTTCAAGCTTGCTATTTTCTTCAATCTAATATTCTTTGTCTTGCTAGAGGGACTTGTTTATTTTAATCAAATTATCTAACTCCTTTCTTATGCTCTCCATCAGCAAAAAAACATCTGTTTGAGAAATATTCTATTAATTTCTATCATTCCATACTTCTAACGAATTTTCTAAATTTTTTAAAATCTTGAAAAAATAAATGAATAAGAGTAAGCTTTCAGTCAGTCACTATTTTTATTTTAGGCATTCAATTAAAAAAAGTATTTGCTTAAATTTTTTATTTTTTCTTTAAAAATTCTAATTTAGATATGAATTTTAAAATATTTTAAATAAAAAAAGACAATATCCCTTTTTAGAATGCATTCTATTTATTAAATTAAATTAAATTAAATAAATTTACTCTATTATCAATTAGATAATTTTTTGTTGAAAATGCTTTATGACACAAGTACAATAGATCACGTTAAGTTCTCGAATCCATCTAAATTGCAATAGTAATATTTTCATTAGAGGCATAAGTAGAAGATGAAGATATAGGAAGAGCGTTATTTCTGTGTAAAAATGAATAAATTTATTCTGTAACATCGTTATTTTCTGAATTAAAAGACATCATGATCTTAGTAATATCTAAATAGTTCATTTCAATAGATGGGAAATCATGAGAATATCTAAATTTAATTGATTAATCATTTATTGCTAATCTCATGAACTCCATATTTAGGAACACGTCCATTTTAACGCATCTCTTTTATTTACCTACCTATTCATTTATAAGAAGATTTGTTGAAAATTTACTGCCACCAGTACCTAACAAGCTTTATAGTTATATTTTAACACTAGGATCTAGTTCTATATTTCCATATGTAATTGAAGCGATGCCAGAAAATTCGTCTTCCTAAGGATAAACTTCACATTTTATTTTAGAGAATAAATCTTGACCACTACATTGATAAGTATTAGATGTAATTCCTTACATCAAATACTATCTACTTTCTCCAATAATTCTAAACCATTTAAACTTAGCTGGAATTGCTATCGATTTATCTTTATTAGAGTAAATGTTAACACCTATGTTGCAATTTTAGTATGGATTCTGCTAATCTCCTCTTATCTAAACATCAACAAAATAGTTGTACTTTCCTTCAATTACTAATTTAGGTCCATCTTTGCTAATTAATGAATTCCCTAAAGATGAAACTTAAGAAGAATTCATGGTTGAGGTGCTTAAATAATTCTTAATGGATTACCTCATAATAAATAAATATCTTTTAAAAATTTACTTTTTTAAATTATAAATTTATATTAATAAAATCTGTTTTGCATGTAATTTTTAAAATTTTTTGATTAAAATCTTTCAAAAATTTTAAATTCCCACTTATACTTAGAATATTAATTAGCATTGAATAACTAGGTTTTCGATAATTAATTTTAGTAATCTTTTCTTATATATTGTTATTAGCCAAGTGTTTTTACTAAATAATTCAGTAACATTTCTACAAATCTTATTTCATCAAATATTTATTTTCAAGATTTTTTATTTTAAAGTAAATCTTAAAAAGAAAAAAACTTCTTTTAATTTTAGATAAATATATTTTTTAAAAATGAATTAATTAAAAATTTTTGTTTGTAAAAATAAAATACTAAATCAAATATTTTTATTATTTGCAAAATATTTAAGGGGTTGGGGTTGGGGTTGGGGTTGGGGTTGGGGTTGGGGTTGGGGTTGGGGTTGGGGTTGGGGTTGGGGTTGGGGTTGGGGGTTGGGGTTGGGGTTGGGGTTGGGGTTGGGGTTGGGGTTGGGGTTGGGGTTGGGGTTGGGGTTGGGGTTGGGGTTGGGGTTGGGGTTGGGGTTGGGGGTTGGGGTTGGGGTTGGGGTTGGGGTTGGGGTTGGGGTTGGGGTTGGGGTTGGGGTTGGGGTTGGGGTTGGGGT